TGCCAAGTTGCCCAGGCGGGTCTCGAACCCGCGGGCTCAGGCAATCCACTCACCTCAGCCTCCCAAAGGTGCGGGATTACAGGCTGAGCCACCGAGCCCGGCTATTAATAAGTTTATTTTTAAGAGTTTTCTATGTATCTTGTATCTTCAGAGATGCCATGTCAAGTGACTTTGGCTGTTGAACCTTCCCTACTGCTACCACAGACCTTGTCAGTTAGCTCAGTGATCAAAAGATGGCCATGTTAAAGGGGGAATGGAGAACTCAAACCTATACAATCATCTGCCAGCTTTTGCTCTGAGCAAGTCATTAGCTTTGAAGCCCTCTGGCGAGGTTTGCAGCATAATGCCTGTTGTGCAGATGAGGAGACTGCAGCCGGGCAGTCTTTCTCCTGGTGTGTCCCCAACCCTGGAACTGCCCAAGGATTCCTCTGAGTCCTTCCTCACTGCCATGGTGGGGGCTGCTCTCCACATCCTCTGACTTGTGAATGTAGTCGCTTGTCCGTCCTCCTTCTCCTAGAGCTGTGTGAGCATCTCCTTACGCCCAGATCAGAGTTGTGAAGGTCATCCTGAAAGGCCCAGAAATGCATTTTTTTAGTCTGCGAAGGAAGATAGGGTGGGAAGTTCGATAGACAGCACCAGGGCCCAAGGAACATGCTACCTGTGCTGCTGAATGACTGGCTTCTGCTAACTAATGACAGAACAAGAAAAGGACGTGGGCTTAATTTAGCAAATAGCTTCTCTTTAGTTACTAATTAAGCATCTTCCTGGTCATGGCATTGCCCTTAACTCATAACTCAAAGTCTTCGTAGCGGTTCTAGGGTAGGCTGGGGATTACGCTCAGGACATCCCTTTGGGCTGGGCGGGGGCTGCCTCAGGTTCACACCTATCTGGGTGCAGGGTTACGGCTCTTGAAAGGTGTCAGGATTTTTCCTGTTGTCATCTTAAGACTTCACTGTTAGGGTATGTGATATTGGAACATACAACTTCTATATTGAAAATACTTTACCATTCTGCGTAATCTTTTGGTTCAAAGGTACCAAAACAAACAGAACCATGATTGTATGTTTGTGATTATTTTTGTCTTTGAAGAGTACTCTTCATCTGAATCAGGCAGTCCATGCTGAAGTGGCTCTGATGGTACTCGAAGCTTACCAGAAGTACCTTGCACAGAAGCCATACACTGGGCTTCTTTCTGAAAGTATGAAGCAGGTATTTCCTTCTCTTCTGTGTTGAGAACACGAATCTGTCATTATGAATTCCTGGGCAGATAAATTTATAGTATGGACTTGTATATGTCCTAAGACCATTTCTGGTAATTTAAGATATTAAAGGTGATGTCTATGATTGGATCAAGATTCTTCGTTAAAACATAGCCTCTGTACCCTGTTTTAATATGATAAATTGTGAGTTGAGCTACAGTGGTATGTGACGCTTGTTTGCAGCAGCTCAGGAGAACTGGCTGTTAACTTTTTAGGAAGTTTGCAAGCCAGGTTGTTTGACTGTTGATAACTTGAACTTGGCCATAGTGGGAGCTTTTATTCCACCCAAACTGACAAGCACTATAAATGAGATCCCTCACTCTGATTGTTTAACTATTTTACCACACACCATCTGTTTAGTGTCAACTTTTGTATCTGCTCTCTTACTTGAGCTACTAAGGTCAGGGTCACAGGGTGACTAACAGTTTGTTAGCTGTGAGTGAGAAATTGCTTTATTGCAGTACAACAAACAAACATTACTTCATGGCCAGTAATTAGTATATTCCTCTCTTTCAAGGGCATTGTTGATCACAGAAGGAGATGACTGAATGAGTTACTGATGTTATGTGTGTGTGACTCATGTTGCTGAAATAAATTGTTGTAGGTTTCCTACTTGGCCAGTATTGTTCGCTACGGAGAGACACCTGAGACCTCTTTTAACCAATGGGCCTGGAACTTGATCTTGAGGTTAAAACTGCACAAAAATGATCATGGAATTCAGCAGAATTGTCCAACTGTCGCCTTCTCCAGCACTGTGCCCGACATGACAGAGTCACCCACGTTTCATCCTCTGCTAAAGGCTGTGAAAGCAGGCATGCCCATCGGCTGTTACCTGGCCCTGTCCATGACGGCTGTGGGCCACAGGTGTGTGTGTGGGTTAAAGCTCTAGGGTGGCAGAACATCATAGATGGTGGTTCTAGAATCTCATCTTTCACACCCCAGGTCTTGAGGCCTCCAGGAAGTCTACCTAGGGATAACAAGGGCCAGATAATAAGCCTTGATCAACTACTTATCAAGGGAGATGCTGCCAAACTTACGTGCAGCAGATTTGTACCAGCAGGTCCCCTTGTCATCTTATGAACTGAGTTTACACCTGTCACCAGAGAGGAATGTTTGTGTCAGCAGTAGATTCATACTCTCTTCCTCAGGATAAGGCTCAGTTAAAAATATTTGATCACATGTAGTGAGTTTGAAAAAAGCAATAGGCGCCCAACTCAGGCTCCTTGACTGAAGGGCTATGCACGTCCTGGAGAGTGCCTATCTGTTGTGGGCCCGTGGCTGTTTGTTTTTTCCCACTGGAGATTTCTCACACTGTGTGGTTGGTATCTGTCTAATCTTTTCAGGAGTCCAGTTATGTATAACTTCTCTGAGGTCAGTACCCAGAAGAGGTGTTCCCGGTGATGAAGATGCTATCTGGTGTAGTGAATAATGGAATGCATGAATGAATTCTCAGCTGGTTAAAAGTCATTCTCTTCTCTTCTCTTTTCCTTTCCTTTTCTTTTTTTTTTGAGTCAGGATCTTACTCTGACACCCAGACTGGAGTGCAGTGATGCAGTCACAGCTCACTACAGCCTCAATATTCTGGGCTCTTGTGAACCTTCCGCCTCAGCCTCCTGAGTAGCTGGGACTACAGGTGCACTGGCACTATGCTTGGCTATTTTTTTTTTTTTTTTGTAGAGACAGTGTCTTGCTATGTTGCCCAGGCTGATCTTCAACTCCTGGGCTCAAGCAATCCGCGTGCCTTGGCCTCCCAAAGTGCTAGGATTACAGGCATGAGCCACTGTGCCTGGCCTAAAAGTTCTTTTCTTTAAAGATCCTTTTCCTGCAATGCATTGATTTTTTTTCTAGCCTGTCCATTTTCTTTCTTTTTTTTTGAGTTGGAGTCTCACTCTGTCGCTCAGACTGGAGTGCAGTGGCATGCTCCAGGCCACCGCAGCCTTGACCTGCTGGGCTCCGGCAATCCTGCTGCCTCAGCCTTCCAAGTAGCTGGAACTATAGGCATGCGTTACCATGCCCGGCTAGTTTTTGATTTATTGTAGAGATGAGGTCTCGTCAACTTGCCCAGGTGGGTCTCGAACCCGCGGGCTCAGGCAGTTCCCTCACCTTGGCCTCCCAAAGTGCTGGGATTATAGGATGAGCCACCGAGCCCGGCCTGTCCATTTTCTTAAGCCTTTTTGACCTGTGCTCTCTGGTCTTTGAGGTTCAGACTCACTGTAACGTCTTTTTAGCATCCTCATTTCAGCATCTTATTCCACATTAAGCATAACTACAATGGGGTGCCAGCCCTGTCAGCTGGTTGCGTCAGCCTTGTGCTTAGAAGGAGGAGGGAGATGGAGTTGTGGACAGTTTAGTGGAGATGGTGAGCATAACACAGTTGTCAGTCCTGTAGCATCGACCACAGGCTAATCGTGTACAGAGAGCAGTGATTCTCAACTCTGGCTGCTCTTTAGAATCATTTTTTGCAGTCTTACAAAAAAAAATCACATTGCAGGGAAGAGGGTGCACATCCAACCTAATTGGCCTGTGGGCCATTTCTCCAGATGTCCCCAGTGTGCAGCCTGGATTGAGAGCCACTTAGAAACTAAGCAGAAAGAGTATACAGGAAGTAGAAGTCAGTCAGGAGGCTGCCTTCCTGGAGGAGTGGACTCTGGAGAGGAGTCTCCACTTAGAGACGTCCTGGGCTGATGAGCGGAGCGTGCATGCGGCCCTTCCTGGGTGGCTTAGTGTCAGCAGCCTGAGGACTCAGGGCCATCTCCTGCTGCCTGTGGCACCCACCCTTTGAGCAACACCATGTGTTCATAATCACCATGGCTCCTTCTTATGTAGTGTTCATCTTGCTCATCTTTGTATCTTTAGATCTTATACTTAGGTGCTCAGCAAATGCTGTGGTTGAATGACAGTGGGAAGGAGACTGGGTGTCTTAGTGGGTAGGTATGAGGAAGGGACTTGGTAAGGAAGCAAGCACTTATGCTGAGCCCATGGTCCATGTTGGAAAGTGGAGGGGGTCAGGTGGCCACGTCAGGGATGAGCATGAAAACTAAGCGAGAGGGCAGTGCTGATTCAGAAGGGAGTGACTGCCCGGTCCATGGGGCTGCACATTCTGTATTGTTTCCAGCAGCTCCAGTATTTAGTGGTTTCCTTAACTTCAGGCTCCTCATCTCTAAAATGGGAATGATAATAATATTGAACTTCTTTATGGACTTCCGTGAATTAGAGTGCATGGAACACACTTAGCATAGTGACCCTTGAGTGCAGTTATCTGAACTCATGTTTCATGATTTCCCATGTCTTGTGTCCGCTCTGGGACCAGAGCTCTTCACTCAGGTGACTGTGTGTGTTCTCACCTGAATGTAACAGTTATTTAGTGCTGATGACTGAGTCCTGAATGGGAGTGAGGGTGAGAATAAGAGTTCCCCTTCAGGGCTGATCTCCTTTGTAAAACTTCACGGTGATCATCTAGGATTAGAGCTAGAGGAGCTGCCCATGTATCTTCATTTGAGAAGTGTCTATTCATGTCTTTTGCCTATTTTTTAATGGGGCTGTTTGGTTTTTTCCTTTCGGCACATTTGAATTCCTTATAGATCTTAGATGTTAGGCCTTTGTCAGATATACAGTTGGCAAATATTTTTTCCCATTCTGTGGGCTGTTTTCCCGCTCTCTTGATGGTTTCTTTTGCTTTGCAGAAGCTCGTCAGTTTGAAGAGGTCCCACTTGTCTGTCTTATTTCTTATGGTTTGGGCACTTGGAGTTTTGATCAGAATTTGGTTGCCAGTTCCAATTCCTGTAAGGGTGTCTCCTACGTTTTCTAAAAGATTCTTATAGTTTGAGGTTTTACGTTTAGTCTTTGATCTATTTAGAGTTAATTTTTGAGTATGGTGATACGTAGGGGTCCTATTTCAATCTGCATGTGATCAGCCAGTTTTCCCAGCACCATTTACTGAGTAGGTTCTCCTCTCTCCAGTGGTTGTTGGTAGAGGCTTTGTCAAAGATGAGTTGGTTGAGAAATTGAGGTTTTTGATATATGGGTTTTGCTAAAATGCATTTATGTTGCTTTCTGCCTCTGAGTTCTGTAGTTATAAATATACTTGAAAAGTGCATCTTTATGTGGATCATCTTGGATTTTTTTTCATATTTGAGAATACTTCTTAAGGATAGATTCTCTGAAGTAAATCAGAGAATAAGAAGATTTTTATGTCAGATTGGTTTTAGAAGAATTTTGTAGTTTATACAGGTTGAATTCTCCTAACCTGAAAACCCAAGATTCGAAATGCCCCAAAATCTGACACTTTCTGAGTGCCGACATGGTGCTCGGAGGAGGTGCTCACCGGGGCAGTTCAGGTTTTGGGTTTCCTGATTAGAGATGCTCAGCTGCAAGTGTGGTGCAGATATTCCAAAGTCCAAGAGAATCCAAGCCCTAAACACTTTTGGTCTCAGGAGTTTTGGATGAGGATGCTGGGCCTGTATTGACAGGTTAGCTCACTTTAGGATCTCTTTGCTATGATGGCTTGTGGGGGTCTCCAGACAAGGAGGGCCCAGCTCATAGAGGAGGCACTTTGAGAACAGAAGTGGCAGTGGCAAGCGCTTGGACTTGGGTGAACAGTCCTGGGTTCTCACACTGACCCGTCCAGAAAGTGAGGTGGAGTTGGGCACGGCACTCCCTTTCCTCACCTGTGAAGTGGACGCATAGGTGAGCTTTAAGTTCCTTATAGCCCCAGAGCTCTGGTCCCAGTGTTTCTAAGGAAGGTGTGCTGGAGGCCTGAGCTCATCTGGCTGTTGAGGTCGACAGTTCACTGGAAGGATGTACTTTTATGAACAGGACCTTGTGTTCATTGCCATTTTCCTTGTCCACAGCATTGTGAAGTTCTGTGCGGAAGGCATCTTGCTGGTGGGAACTCTGATCCAGTCGCGGCATCTGCGGACAGTGGTGCATGTCCTGGACAAAGTCCTGCCCTTGTTCTACCCTTGCCAGTGCTACCTGCTGAAGAACGAGCAGTGAGTGCGCTCTCTGTGGCAGGGACAGTCCTCAGAAACAGCCCTGAGTACAGACAGTGGGGCTCCGGGCTTCAGAGTAAAACAAAGGGGATGACATCTCATCAGTGTATTTGTTATGGGGCAGAAAGCTTCTGCACCTCAGTGTGGAATGCAGGTTGGAGAACAGTGATTCTAACCATGGCTCCAGTCTTCTCATTACAGAAGATATTTTCCCTCTTATTTAGCTTCCGATTGCTTCTTGCAGCTTCTTAGTCTTTGAGGGAGCTGTTGTTTTCCCAGGTTTCTGGGCCTGGCACTTCTAACATGGAGCAGCTGATGGCTTTGCCGTTGTAACAGCAACACGCATGGTTTTTAATTGCCTGCAGTGTGCATATGCAGTGTTGTGAACAGATCCGCCACTTGGAAGGAAGACTGCATGACAGAAGCAGGGAGCCAGCATCTGGTGGGGCCCCTGCAGAGTGATAAAAGGGAGGGAGGCCATGTGAAGGAGCCTTGCGTGGAGGTACAGGCATCCACCCTGGGACACAGGGCATGGCAGTTCCTGCTGAGTGTCTCTTGGAGCAGTGTGTCTCAAATGTGCCTGGTGAGGAGAATCTACTGGAAGAAGTTATTAAATCCAGATCCCAGGCTCCTCCCCTGGAGGTTCTTTAGAAGGTCAGGGCCTGGGAACTTATAGCACATAGCACTGTGGGCACTTTCACTAGCAGAGATAGGGGTGTGGAGGGGAGAGGGGTGCTTTGGGGTCTTTCTCCTCTAATGCTCTTCCACTTGCATGAGTTAAGTGTCTTGGGTTTGTTCGTTACATTTCCGCAGTAGCTAGAGCTCCTTTTAGACTGCATTAAGTGTGAACACTTGATTCTTCTGGAATTCTGAAGATTTCTCAGAATCTCTAGTAGCTCTAAATTGGTCTAAAAATGGAACTGATGTAATATTTTTCTGTTTCCTCTTAAGTAATTAGCACTGAAAGGTGTTGCCTGCTGACCTGAAGGTAAGGTGTGCCATCTGTGTATTTGCAGGTTTTTGTCACACCTCCTTCTGTTCCTACACTTGGACAGTGGTATCCCTCAGGGTGTCACACAGCAGGTTACTCAAAAGGTGGCACAGCATCTGACAGGAACCAGCCACGGGGATAACGTGAAGCTTCTCAACAGCATGATCCAGGTAGGGCCTTGCATGTCCCTGGTACACTCTTGCCCATCATCCCAGCCAGATACTGCTGGTGCCAGCATGTTTCTGTTTTGGTCGTTTCATGTCATTTGACTCAGTGCTGTCAACCAAGAAGGTCAGCAGGTTTGGGCATTGTTGTGGAGTCAGATACAACTTTGTTGGGGTTTTGACTGGCTGTCAGCTGTCCGCCACCTAAGTCTTTTCTCCGCAGGCACACATATCTGTGAGCATGCAGCCCCATGGAGTGGGTCCCGTTGCCGTGCTGGAGTTCTGGGTACAGGCCCTCATAAGCCAGCATCTGTGGTACCGCGAGCAGCCCATCCTCTTCCTCATGGACCACCTGTGCAAAGCAGCTTTTCAGCTGATGCAGGAAGACTGTGTACAGAAGCTGCTCTACCAGCAACACAAGGTGGAACCCTGGGAGGGGAATGTGTCTTTAGGGTGTTGGCTGGACGGTAGCTTTCTAGAAAGAGTCCCCCAAATGCACCATTTTCAGGACTACCCGTGGCCACTGCCTTTGAAGCTCTACCTTAATGGTGTCTTATCCCAATAATCACAGTCCACTCGTGTGGATCCCAGGGGAGTTCAAGCAAAGGACACCCCAGGAAGAGCCCTGCTTGTTATGTTTCTGTAAAGTCCTGCCTGGGACTTTTGCTGCAAGTGGATGTGTTCTTGAAATCTATGTCATCAGAACTTCTCGCTGGAGTGAGACAGTCACTGACACTTGTAAGGTCATTGGTAAGGTTTTCCTGATGTCTCTTCTCTGCTCCCCACTCCCCTTGTAGAATGCCCTGGGTTACCACTGTGACAAGAGTCTACTGTCCTCCTTGGTGAGCTGGATTGTGGCCGGCAATGTCACTCCATCCTTCGTAGAGGGCTTGGCCATGCCCATGCAGGTAGGAAGCTCCTGAGAGGACCACTTGTTATCTCTGTGAGCTTTACTCTCGTGATCATCCTTCCTAATGAATTATTAATAGTATTTAGCACTTGCTGCACATGGAGGTGTACTGCCTTATTTAATCTTCACACAGCCCTCTGCTGAGGTTGTACACTCGTCATTCCTGGTTTACAGAGAAGTTAACTGAGGGATTTTTGTTTCTTGTTTTTTTAAAGAGACAGGGTCTCGATTTGTTTCTCAGACTGGTCTCGAGCTCCTGAGCTCAAGTGATCCTCCTGCCTCAGCTTCCCTAGTAGCTGGGACTACAGGTGCACTCCACCACCACACCTGACTGTAACTGAAGTTTGATGGCTTTGGGGGCTGGCTCAGGACCAGACAGTTCTGGGTCAGACCCCAGTTGCCCTGATTGCAGATGCTGCCCAGCAGTGTGGCAAAGAGGTTTGGAGTAGGCACTGGAGCCAGACTGCCAGGTGGCACTCTTGGTTCTGCCAGTCACTGGCTCTGTGCCTTGGGTAGCTTGCTTACCTCTCTGTCCTCAGTTTCCTCGGTTGTCAAATGGGAATGATGACTGCTCCTGCATGTGAAGCACTTAGAGCAGTGCTTAGCACATAGCCGTTGCTTACCGAGTGTGGTCATTGTCACCATCATCAGAACAGCATGACTTCTGTCTTCATCACCATCTCTTAGACTGTAAAATTGTCTGTGTCCGTGTCTCCAGCTGCCTGTCAGTCTGACTTCCTTTCTTCCTTCCGCGGGTTGTAACTGTGCTGGAATAAGCCCCTGGCTGTTTCCTGGACACATCTCTGGCTCTTTGCTCTGCCTTGCTGGTTCTCTCACTGGTGTGCCCTCCCCAACCTTGCTGCAAGCATTTCTGATGGAGTACTGCTTCTGGCTCAGCCCTTGCCACTGCTGCCTTCTCCTTTGGTTATTTTCCTAATAGGCTTGTTACTCCCGTTAAGTGGAAGACTTGTTGAGGGCAGAGCCCAAGTCTGGCCCTTGTTCTTGTCCTTCATGTATATAGAACCTGCCTAGTGACTATTGTGTGAACCAGCATTCTCTTTAACTAAAGAGGCCTTTCCAAAGGATTGTAACCTTTTTCAGTGACCTGTTTTATTTAAATTTATACCTGTGACAAGAATGTAGATAGGTGTAAAAATACGTGTTAATTCTAGAAGCTGTGAATGCTTCCTGACTGAGATAGGCGGTTAGGAGGAGATCTGACTTTGTGGACTGTGGGACGCTTGGGCCTGTTGGCTTAGCCGCTCATCCCTCCCCTCTGCTGGTGTCCTCATAGGTCTGGTTTGCATGGACAGTACTGAATATGGAATCCATCTTTGAAGAGGACTCCCAACTCCGAAGAGTCGTCGAAGGGGAGTTGATTATAAACCCTGCCTTCACCCCTGACCAGGCTCTAAAGGTGCACATGCTGCCTGCATTTGAGGGTGGAGGGTGGCTTAGCCTAGATGCTGATAGACTCCCCATGGCTTTTGAACTGCTGTGTTTGTTTTTGTTGTGAACATCTGGAAAGCTCGACAACCAGGCCAGTACTCAAAACTGTGTAAGTGAAGTCCATACTCGGCTTCTCATGAGTCTCGGCCTGACCATGAAGGCTGTATTCATGGTGCATGGGAGGAGGTTGCTATTGCTTTAAAGCAGTCACCATTACGACTCATGACATGAGACTCTCCCAGAGAGCTTGTTACCAACCAGGTTCCCAGACCCCACCTGCTGGGATTTGGAGCTTTGGGATCTGGAGTGGGACCAGGAATTTACTTCCAGAAACTCCCCAGCTGATACTTAGGCTCACCACAGCGTGAGACGGACTGGGAAAAGACTTTGGGTTTAAAGACCTTCTATTTTAGGGTCCATTGTGTAGACGTTGCTTTTGGGTTTCAAAGCCTGTCAGTGTAACATAGCCTTTTAAAATCTAGGTTTTCAGCCAGGCTCGGTGGCTCAGCCTGTAATCCTGTGCTTTGGGAGGCTGAGGTGAGTGAATTGCCTGAGCCTGCGGGTTCGAGACCCGCCTGGGCAACTTGGCGAGACCTCATCTCTACAATAAATAAAAAAAATTAGCTGGATGTGGTAGCACGTGCCTGTAGTTCCAGCTACTTGAAAGGATCTCCAGAGCCCAGCAGGTCGATGCTGCGGTGGCCGGGAGTGGCCACTGCACTCCAGTCTGGGTGACAGTGAGACTCCAACTCAAAAAATGAAAAATAAAAAATAAAATAAAAGATAAAATAAAATCTATGTTTTCAGAAGATGGGTCAAGTTCGATGGCCACATTTTGTTCTGGCTTTTGTATCATTCTGTTCCCTTGCACTGTAGTGCTGTAAGGCAAAGAATTTCAGAATGGAAATAGGGCTGGACCGGGTGATGCAGGATCCATTCCAGTTCTGGGCTCCTGGAATGTTCTGATGGAAGAAACCTGCCCCAGTGTTTTACTGCCACAGAAGTTGATGCATTAGCTGGGGGACGGGAGCAGTGCAATTTATGTGACCTCATGACGCTTTTTTAAAACTGAATTCACTTGGATCACTTGGAGAGAGAAGCCTGCTTGTATTGTGTTCATGTTGTGGTTTCTCACAGCCCCCCTTCTTCGCAGAAAGCCCAGGCCCAGCTGAAGTTGCCCATCGTGCCATCCCTCCAGAGGCTGCTGATTTATCGCTGGGCCCACCAGGCTTTGGTCACGCCCTCTGACCACCCACTTCTGCCACTCATCTGGCAGAAGTTCTTCCTTCTGTATCTCCACCGCCCTGGACCACAATATGGGTACGGTGCCCAGCGTTATAGTACATTTCTGTGATTCCGTCTCTGCCTTTGTGCTCCTGACCCTGTATGTTCCTAGACTGCGGAGTGTGGGTTAGATTCACTCTCTGGTGATCTCTGGCTGGGATGCTCCCTCCTGCTCTGTTGAAAGTTTATTGGACTGAAAGTTTATTGGTCTCTTTCACATTGGGAGTGTCTTGTGGCTGCTTTTCTCTGCTGTCCTTGTATCCTGGGATCAGACTAGGGGTAGCGCAGAACCTCTGGAGATGCAAAGGGAGGGAAACTGCCTCAGACCAGGCTGCTCATGCAGCCATTGTGGCTCATGCCAGGGGCCTTTGATGAGTGGCGTGGATGTGGGTGGAGGCCAGCCAGGCTGTCTGGTCCCCAGCGTGTCCACTGGGCGTGAAGGTACCCTGGCCAGTCAGAACCATCTTCTGTTGCCAGCCTTTGCTCTTTAGCCCTCTTCGGTTTCTAGCTTTCCCCATTCCCTTAACTCACTCCTTTGAAATATACAGACGCTAATTCTTCTCACTTCTATTTTTTGCCAATTGCACATTCTTCAAGAGCAGAGCCCATCCTTAATCTGTTCTGTCCTCTAAGCGGTGATGATGTCCTAAGTTTGTGTGGTATTTCATTCTTTTTAAAACCACTTTCATACACACCATCTTGTTGGATCCTCAAAACGGAGGTAGAAATAATAAGTATTAATGTAATGGTGTCCATACACAGCCATAGTCCACTGCCTTGCTGATTGACTGCCGTTTTGTGTCATGTAGAAAGTGCATCTTGTGTTGAAAGGTTATAGCTCTGTTTGTATTTTTTAAGGTTACCCATAGATGGTTGTATTGGAAGAAGGTTTTTTCAAAGTCCTGCTCACATCAATTTGTTGAAAGAAATGAAGAGGCGTTTGACGGAGGTGGCCGACTTCCACCACACTGCCAGCAAGGCCCTTCGTGTTCCAGCAGAGGGCAGTGAAGGGCTGTTGGAGAGCCAGGCTAGCGCCCCTGGCTACCTGACCTCCCCAGAGCTGCACTCGGAGCTTGTAAGGTGAGCTGTTACCCAGCCAGTGACGTTTGCAGTACAGGTACTGTGCCAGGTGGTCCACGTGTTACCAACTACTGGAGGCTGTTCTGTCCACCCTGTTAGACTAAGCATGGAAGGTAACTTGGATATTCCTCGAGAGAAGTGACTTGGCAGTTTGAATGTACTTCTGCCAAGTGGCTGGAGCCTGAGTGATAGGTCAGAGGTCGATACCTCTTCTGTTTATGTAGAAATGGAAATAAACCAAAACAAATTGATCATAGCAGGAAAATAGCTGTTAAAGCCTGCCAGAACTGGTCTTTTTTTTTCCCCTAAGAGATGAGTTCTCACTACATTGCCCAGGCTGTGGTGTAGTGGCATAATCATAGCTCACTGCAGCTTCGGACTTCTGGGCTCGAGTGAACTCCCTGCCTGAGCCTCATGAGTAGCTGGGACTGCAGATGTGTGCCATGCCCAGCTTAGAATAGCTCCTTAAAGGAAATAAATGACCAAGTCAGGACTCTTTAGTTATAGTTCATAGATGCTCACAGGACTTGGGGACCCACCTGAGGGGGTGTGGAAATGGGCCATTAGTCTCCTATGGCACAATATTTGCATCTTCCAAAAGGTTAAGAACTCCCGAGTAAGTTTGGGTTCCCAGCACACTAGTTTTTCAACTTTGATTTATAAGTTTGATATAAACCAGATAATAGTCTTACAAATTAAGACATAATCAACATGGCTCTTACTAATTCTCCCTGGATCCACAGGAGCTTGGCGAGGAGTCCCCATTTCAAGTAGCAAGAGTCCTCAGGCTTGTCTGACTCCAGCCTCTTAGGACTCTCTCTCAGCCTCCAGATTGTTTTCTCCTCTGATCTTTATCGGTTGAAGGAAAACTTATTTTTGACCAGGCTTAAGCAGTGGAAACTTTCTCTCTGAACGAGTTAGAACCCTCTCTGCTACTCCCTTCTGCCTCTCCAGAGGCCCCTTTCCATGCTGTGTTCATAGAGTGTTCATTTCATTGAATCAGAAGCTGAGAGAGAGAGGGAGCGAGCTCCCTACCAGCCTCTTCCCTGTAGGATCCTCAAAGTCCCTCCTTGTCTGTCTCCTTAGACAGACAGTCGCAGAGGTGAAGAAGGTAATTTTCCACTTCACTGAACAGAGAGCCAAGACATACCACTACCAGGTTCCCCACCCAGGAATTTGTATATTGCTGACTATTTCTCTAGTACTTTTGCTGCAGACAGCTGCTTAAAATAACAATCTTAGCTGAATGGATTGTATTCCCTGTAAAAACAAAACAATGAAGAAAATATAATTATATTTTTAAAAAAGTTTTTCCTGGGAAATCAGGCCTTTTTCTTTTTTTAAAAGCCCAGTTTTGTTTTGTTCTATTCCTTCTTAGTGAGAATAGGACACACACACACTGTTTTATTTGCGATTTTTTTGAGGCAGGAAAGAGTCGGGGAGCCTAAAGCAAGTTCTAGCACGCATGGTCTAAATGGCTTTTGATATCCTCTCTGAAGTGTGTTTATTTGAATGTTAATTCCACTTTTCCAAGCAGTGAGGCTCACTGTGACTGTACTGCCCAGGAAAATGAGGTTCCAAATTCACATCCTGGGTCTGCTGCAAAGCTACCTTCTCCAGTTGTTTTTTCTGTGTCCTGCAGTTAACCCTGCTTTAATAATGGTTCTCAAATCCCCTTCTTCATGCCTTATGTTTTAGTGATACATCTCCCCCTCTGGACCACAGGTTTCTTGAGAGCCAAGGAGGATGGTAGACATGTATTCTGATGTCTGGGTTTTCCTTGCTCTTGTGTAGTAGGCCGGTGTTCCTAGGGGTATAAGAAAGCTCATTTGCCTGCACGTTGTTTTGTGTTTCACATAATTGTGTTTTTATCTTTTAGGCTCTTCAATGTCTATATACTATGGCTAGAAGATGAGAATTTTCAAAAAGGAGATCCATATATCCCTTCTCTACCAAAGCATTATGATACTCACAGACTAGCGAGAGTGATGCAGAACCAGCAGGTGATGCTCTAGCGATGTCCTTTCATCCTATCTGAGTGTCATTTGAATGGGTCATGTGCATGATGTCATGTATGCCACTGATGGAAGAGGATGGTTACAGATAGTGATGATTGTTCCTGAGGCTTTGTCAATACATACATGATTACATGGAAGGGATAATCCCTTTTTGTCTTCAACATTTCTGTGACTTCACCTGGTGGCTTGAAACTCATTCCAGGGTTTTCTATAACCCATAAGCCTAATCTTCCTCTGACAGTGTTTTTGTATTTTAAATTGTCAGCAGCTGAACACTTGTAAGCAGTCATCTCCCATAAAAAGTGCAGTGTAAGAATTTATAAGGAACTGCACGTTAATTGCGAGGTTAATTGCGTGGCATGGGAAGGAGCTCACGTTTGTTTGGCTTTGAAGACACTGTTTGTCATGGCCACAGCTTGGGTGGCCCATCTGCAGCTGCTTGGTTCCAGGTTTCACGTATCCTGAGCTGTTCTTTCCCCAGCACCCAAAGGTGTCTGTGATCTTGCTTCAGGCCAGAACTTCTCATCTGTTTTCTCTAAGCTTCTCTAGCCATCTCTAGCCATCTGGGGGCAGGGCAGAGGAAGTGGAGAGGCATGTCTCTCCTGTTCCAGTTCCTCTTCTCTAGAGGCTGAGCTCTCTTGACCACTGACCTCAGCACCAGAGTGGAGCTTAGGAACCTCTGGACTTGGGAGCCTGCCACTGGGGTTCTTATGCCTTCCTACTTCCGCACTGTGTGTGTGTTTCAGCTCCAGTAGGTATCTTTGTCTTTTCTTCTGTTTTCTTTTCTTCCTTTCTTCTTTCTTCTTCCTTTCCTGTCCTTCCATGAATATTTATTGAGTACCTTCTAAGTGCCAGGTTCAAAGATATAAAAGAAATCCGATGCAGTCCCTGCCTTCAAGGAGCTTATTGTCAAACAGGAGACCAGACAGTGACAACGTCTTGTGATTGAGACTAGGGGAGGGTGTGCACAAGGTGCTAAGGAGCATAGAACAGTGGCCCCCGTTTCACACAGGCTGGGTGGTGACTTTGAGCTGAGCCCAAAGGACACATGGGAGTTGGCCAGGTGGAGAGAAAAGGCCTGGTGCTGGGTAGTGGTACAGACGCAGTGTGTGCAAAGCCTGGCCTGGTGGGAGAGGGAGGCGTGCTCAGCAAGGGGGATGTGGTGGGAGGGGAGGTGGGGGGTGGCAGTAGAGGGGCCAAGGATCCACGGCGGTGAGTGGCAATGATTCACTAAGGCCGTGAATTCCTTTCTAAACAACTTGGCTGTAGTCTGACGTCTTTCTTTGAGAGCTATGAAATAGCAGCAGTGATCATTTAAGTGGGTGAATGAAAAATATATTGAGGAAGAGTCCATCGCAAGGAATTCCTCATTCCTCATGTGGGTCCCTGGAGGCACTGTTCACAAAGACAGGGAACATGGAGGGGGAGGTACCTGTAGGCCTCGGAGAGAGCAGTCTACCTAGGAGTTATCAGGAGGGGAGATGCTGGGCCAAGATTCAGGAGTGAGGCCCAGAAGGAAGTGTGGGTTTACAGGTAATAGAATAAGATTAAGAAGAGGATGGAAGGAGGAACCTTGGAAACAACCACATTTAAGGCACAGAGGAACAAGGCTGGGAATATAGAGCCCAAGAGATGGAAACAATAAATATGAGGCCGCCGTGTCCTAAAGTCCTTGAGGCAGCTCTACGCTGGGTCTTCCCTGGACTCCAAGCCAAGTCCTTATCCATGGCTCTCGGTGGTTAGAAGTCAGCCAGAGCTTTCCTGGCTCTCTGAGATTTATCCTGAGCTACAGAATTAATTGCTTTATTCTCTTTTTTAAAGCTGGTCTTTGCCATTTGTTCTATCTGTAATTTAGATTCAGAGTTGTTGTCTTTTTATAGTCTCTAAGACATGTTTTTTTCCCCCATCTGAAGTCTCAGGCTTTGCTCTAAACTTTAGCCTCTGTCAGCAGTTATTTAGCACAGTGGCAGAGAAGGTGACATAGCGACCCTGTTTGAAGGAGCCGTGTATACACAGTCGGAGGGCCCTGGATGGGGGCTGAACAGGCCTAGGCACACAGTGCTCAGGGTTGTGGTCAGGGCTGCCTTGGAGCGCCTCCTGGGGCAGGGGCGGGGGTGGGTGTGGGAGTGGGGGTGAGAGGGACTGCCTTGGAGTACCTCCTAGGGGAGGAAATGCCTTGGAGCACCACCTGAGGTAGAACACCTTGGAGTGCCTCCTCCAGCCAGGGAACGCCTTGTGCTGTGGGGTTGGTTTGGAAATAATGATTCAGGACTTTAGCCAGTGTGCTGATTAAGAAGTTAGGGACATTTTTTGGTTTAGCATGATCCTTGGGCCTCTAGAACATTTAAAATCAGAAAAAAGAAAATCATGGTTCACAAAGCCATAGTCCATATTCAGTCACTTGCTATTACAACTGGAAGTAGTTTTTAGTAGTTCATTGATATTTGGCTTTTGTGTTGATCATTAAAGGCAGTCCACCATTCTAATATATGGTGATCGCCAAGGTGAGGTAAATATGGTATTCAGAATATGCAAGGCAGCCCATGGAGTGTGGGACAAGAAGTGTTACAGCCTCTGTGTCTAGTTTTTTCTCATTTTATTTATTTACAAAAAGACTCCATCATATGGAAAAATAGACGGGACAGTATAATGGGCACTGCCCCCCCAAGTGTCCCGTGTCTGTGCCATCCATAGCCATCCACCTCCACCTCCACTGTGCTCAGGTAATGCCAGAGCATCTGATGCACAACAATTTAAAAAGATAAGGATGGAAAGGATATAATCCAATAGCACTTACATCTAAAAAAAATCAGCAATAATTTAATGTCAAATATCTAGTCAGTATTCAGATTTCCAGCTGTCTCACAAGTGTCATACAAGTTTTGTTTATTTTCATAGTTTGAATCAGGGTCTGCATGCTGTAATTTGTTGATTAAAAAAATACTTTATTTTTTTGTAAAACTTTATTTTATTATAGGAGTGTGGGGTGCAAGTGAGTGTTAACTACATAAGTAGGCTAGTGCAGGGGAAGCTTGGACTTTTCACTGGCCCTCACGCCCCTGGTAGTGGACCAGGTGTCCTTTGTGTTGGTTGTGATTAGTTGCTGTGTTACAAGTCTGTTTCATCTCAGCTCCTTCCCTTAACCCTTTTATCCTTGCAAGTTATTTGTTGAAGAAACCAAGTCTGTCTGTAGAGTCCCCCAGTCTGGCTTTTGCTGGTTGTATTTTCATTGTGTAGCTTAACATGTTTTTCTGTCCGCTGTATTTTCTGTAAATTGATAGTTGGATTTAGAGTCTTGATCTTATTCAAATTTGATTATTTTCAAAATATGTATTTTTTTATCTCTTTAAATTTTACTGTTCTTTACTTATGTCTTATAGTGTGCCTCATTTATTAGCTCAGTAGTAAATGTATATAATTTAGAGATACAGCTATAGTGAGACTATTAAAATGATTTTTCTAATCATGGCACACAGTCAGAAAAGTTTTCTAATTACTGCAAAGATTGTTTGAGTGGTCGTTTTAAATGTGATTTATCCTGAGGCTGGAGAACTTTGAGTAGACATTTCATGTTGAAACTTACTGTTCACTTCGTAGTTACATATAGTTTTATATGTGAATATGTGACTCATCTGTCGAAGCTGAAATACTGTTGTTCCCTTTCAGGATCTGTGGGTAGAGTATTTGAACATGGAGCGCATATATCATGAGTTTCAGGAGACAGTTGGCCTGTGGACGCAGGCCACGCTCGAGTCGCATTCCACGCCCTGCAGCGTGTCTGTGCAGCTGGACTTCACCGATCCCCTGCTGGGTGAGCCCTGAGCATCCGCCCCTGGGATGAGTGAATGAGTGATTGGTTCAGAGCCGTGGAAGGTTGAGGCTTACACACTTCTTCCTCCAGTGTGCATTTTTCCTACGATGCTTTGGAAAGACTTTTCCATTTATTTGCACAATTATGTGTAAAGCTGCCCTTTATACATAATTGTTTTTTTACACATAATTGTAATTGTTTTAAAATTCAGAAGGCTGTATTTTTCTTTTATAAACTCTTTTTCTTTGTACCAGGAACCCTTACCATACAAATGGAACATACTTTGAAAGTTTCAGTTGCTTGTTTCTCCCAGTACATTTTCCTAGAGAAACGGTGTTATAAATTATCAATTCGTTTTCTGTGCCAGATTACAAAAGCCCATTTAACCTACAAAGGTGCTGATATTTGGGGTCTTCTATTAATTTTAATTATTGAATATAGTTTTAGAATATGGGATGCATAATAATATTATAATATATATTGTACTAGAACACTGAAATGATTCAGAGAAAGGGAAATTGCTTTCTTACTTCAGCTTCTCCACCAACCAACTTGTTAGTTGTGTGAAGAGAGACAAACAAGAACCTCCCTGGGCTTCAGTGCCTCCATCTGCAAGTTGAAGGTGCTGATAGTCTCGTCTAAGGCTCCAAAATTTTTCCCTCCAACATCCCTCTCACCCTTTTTTCCTGTAATAATAATCATGTTTTTCTGATACAAAAGGTAGATGACTTAGCCTGTAATCCCAGCACTTTGGGAGGCCGAGGCGAGTGGATTGCCTGAGCCTGCGGGTTCAAGACTAGCCCGGGCAACTTGGCGAGACCTCATCTCTACTATAAGAAAAAATAAAAAATAGCCGGGTGTGGTACTGCACATCTGTAGTTCTGGCTACTCAGAAGGCTGAGGCAGAAGGATCACTGGAGCCCAGAAGGTTGACTCAGGGGTGGCCTTGAGCATGCGTGCCTCTGCACTCCAGCTTGGGCAAAGGAGTGAGACTTCTACTCAAAAAAAAGAAGCTAGTTGAACTCATTGGGAAAAAAAAAATCAAACAATATAGGAAGATATTTAGAGGAGAGCATGAAAATTACCCCGAGCCCGACTGTAGATTCTCGTTTTTCTCTTCTTGGAAGTTTACTACCTGGGAAGAAGGAACGTACGGACAGACCTGGGGCCACTGGACACTCTGTGTTCATGCCTTCCCATTTGTAGTGCTTCCCTGTTGCCTAGACACTGCCCTCAGAGGTGGACTGTTTTCTTTGGAGTTAAGCTAGTAATTGGTAAAGCCCTTTGCTTGTTGTAGGCGCTGTTCCAGTACTTTCTCTGTTAACTCAGTCCTCACAATAGGCAGCATGGGTTATCCCTGTGGAGCAGATAAGATGCCCAAGCTATACCCGGGTTAGGCAGCTTACACAGTGGGCCCATGGCTGGTGTGGCAGAACAACCTGACTCTAGAGCTCTCCTGCCCACCACTTGGTATCGTACTCCTTGTTCCTGGTGATCAGTACTGGTTGCAATTATAAACAAAATGAGGATCTAGATTTCTAAGTAGTAAGTTTAGGTTTTTCTCAAATGATAGTCAGTTAGGTGATAATTCTATCGAATGATTGAACTTGTGGTTGTGGTTGATTATAAAAAAAACTAACTTCAGCATCTTTGTGCCACCAAGTTCTTTTTTTTCTTGAGCTACATTTATTTCGTTGGATTCAAAATTTTTGTCAGTTGTGGTCCAGAATGGTGATTGCAGTTAAATGTACTCTGAATTTAATTTTTTCCTTTTACTTTGTACTTACAATATTATTCTTGGTTTTTCTTTTAAGTTACATCGGACTTGAAAGGGCTCCCAGTCTTCCTTTAGCGTCATGGCCTATAATATTGCTTGAAGGAACTTTAACACAGTCACAAGTCTCATCCAGTGGTGAATACCCAACTTTGTTACATCTGTGCAGAGGGTGGTGGTTCTGGTGGAAAAACACCAGCCATAAGGGACAATGCTGCACTTGCCTGTTTGGAATGTCAAGTTCCATCTCTTTGGGGAACAAACAATACAAGTCTCTTTATGCCAAGTAAAGTCATAGTTGTTAAATTTTCTTTAATTTTTCTCAACCAGAATAGAAAATTGAATGTTACATCTGGAATGAAATCGGAAATTCATAGTAGTACCTTAAGTACTTGTTGACGTGATTTATTGACTTGACATTCCTTGACCTCTTCCTTCCTCTGTTAACTTGAAAATAAACGGGTTTGTAGCAGTGTTTTTCTTCATGGTATTCATTCCCCACTTGCCATGTGGTATGTGTGCAGTGTGGTGAAGGAAGAGGGAGGGAGGATAGGAGTTTTATTTATTTATTTATTTTTTGAGTCAGAGTCTCACTCTCACCCAGGCTAGAATGCAGAAGATCCTTCTGTCTCAGCCTTCCAAGTAGCTGGAACTATAGGCATGCGCCACGATGCCTGGCTAATTTATTTTGTTTTATTTATTGTAGAGTTGAGGTCTCACCATGTGGCCCAGGCCGTTCTCGAACCCGTGGGCTCAGGCAGCCCTCTCACCTCCACCACCCAAAGTGCTGGGATTCCAGGCGTGAGCCACCACACCCTGCTCGGATTGGAGTATATTGGATAGCTCTCTGTGGTCAGCTTTGTGCTGGGTATAGAAATGGCGAGCATTTACATTTGATGAACTGTATGAGACCATGTACACTGTAGGGCAGAATTTCATGGTACAGATCTATCTTTATTTTTTTGTACAGCACTGGACTGCTTATTTGGACTCTATAAAATATTTGTTGAGAGAGTGAATAAGTAAATGACTGATGGTCTCTTCGACTCCATAAATAGAAGTGCTAAGGGAGCTGAGGACCATGTCTTCATTCATTTTGTCTCCTGCTACTCCTCACCTCCTATTCAAGCCTAGACCAGTTTCAGACACTTGACCCAGCTATATTCCTTAATGCCCGTTCCTTCCCACATTCCTATGACTTTTATCTGGCTGATGGCATTGTACTCTTCACTGGGCTGCCTGCCTCTTAGACCTGCCTGTTCACCAGATCTGTTAACCAGCTGGTGACGGCATCCAGCTCAAGTGGGCTTGGAGCAGTTCATAAGCTCCTCTTGATACTACCATTAGGTACTGACTTCTCAGCATTTCCTGCAAGTCCTGTCTAGGTCGTGACTTCACATTGCAGCTGCAGCTCTTTCACTGCTGTGAGACTCTCACCTTTTGGCGGGTAGGAATTTTGTTGAATGGCGCCTCTGAGCTCCTGTTATCTCACTCATCATTCAGTTGACCCGACTTCATTTTCTTTCAGCGAAGGAGAGGGTTTTGAGTAACTTGCAGAAGCATGAGCCTCCCCAGCCACCCCTAGCCCTGCACCCAGTGAGGCCTCCCGTGCCAGTGATTGCCTCAGCCACTTTACTGAGTCAGAAGGATGCCACCCAGCTGGTGTGCACAGATCTGAATCTGTTGCAACAACAGGCCAGGTGAGAGCACTCTCCCTCAAGGGTCATGTTCCGGAGTGGCTGCTTTGACAACCTGGGTGATTTAGGACCCGGAGTGGCTTTCTCATCAGCATTTTACTGTGAGGATAATTTGACCAGACCAGCCCAGATGGCTAACTCAGTAAGCCGAATTGTGACAAGTCTTTTAACTTCACATTGAAATTATGTGGTATTCTCACAGACTGTCAATTTCACATTTCCTGTGGTGGCACTTGTGAGTGTCAGTGGTGCCAGCCAAAGTTTTCTTAGGCTTCCCTTGAGGAGACGTTGACACTGAAAGGTGGTTGGAAGAGTACGAAATGAGATTTCCTTTCTTTTGTCACTGCTTCACTGCTGTGCTCTCTAACTCTTCATTTCATTTCCTTTTTTTTTTTTGAGTTGGAGTCTCACTCTGTTGCCCAGGCTGGAGTGCAGTGGCACAATCATGGCCACCGCAGCCTCAACATGCCGGGCTCAGGCAATCCTTCCGCCTCAGCCTTCCAAGTAGCTGGAATTGCAGGCACACGTCACCACACCCAACTAATTTTTGGTTTATTTTAGAGATGAGGTCTTGCCAAGTTGCCCAGGCTGGTCTCGAATCCCTGGACTCAGACAATCCTCTCACCTCCACTTCCCCAGATGCTGGGATTACAGTCGTGAGCCACTGTGTCTGGCTCTGACTAATTCTTCATAGTCTTTAAAAAACTGACACAGGCACTTGATTGAAGTGTGGGAAAGTCATCGAGTGTCTTAAGTTCACCTGGCAGACACAGAATGATCAGCCGTTAAAGGTTTTGACCGCAGCTTGCGATCTTGTGAGAAGGAGCATGTGTGGAATAGTCTGTTGTATTAACAGTCAGTGACCCATAGTTTTACAAGTCATATGTGAGTTAATTAGCAGTTTGTCCTTGGCTGTTTTTGGTCCAGGCATTTGCTGCATATGTGTTGGGTGCTCATTCAAGCACCTGCCCATTCATGTAATAATACATACAGTTCTATCCGTATTGACACCCCACATGCCCAGCTGGCTTCTTGGTCTTTAATGTTTCAGTTGAAGTTTCTAATATCTAAAAAAGTCATGGGCATTTATAATGAAGGCACCCCTTTGGGATGAATAATTAGGATAAAATCCTCACTTGTTCTTGTGTACTTAAGGGCCCAGGTAAAAAACATCATTGCTATCACATGGGCTCTTAAATGGAGCTTTGATTCTAACTGACGCATTGTCCCACTTTTCCATGAGGCTTTTCCTTTGTTTCTTGGCTTTCTGCTTAACCTGTCTGCCGGGGATGATTCGGCTAAGTCTCGGCCCGCAGACCTTTGGTCTTATTACTATGGAGTCTGTGTGTCTTGCTGTGCTGTAGGGCTGGCTGGGGGTGGCCATAAGACTCTGTTGTGTATCCGGCCTCTCCCAAGACTTCCCTTTACCTCCCGATGTGTATTTCAGAACTGCAGCCCTGCGGGAATCCCAGCAGGTGGCCCTGGATGGGGAGTTGTTGGACACGATTCCCAAGCAGTATGTGAATCGGGAGGAACAGACCACACTGCACTTGGAGTGCAGAGGCAGTGGTGGTAAGAAGTGCCAAGGAGCTGCAGTTGTAATGGTTCAGGTAAGGTTGCTTAAATTTCTTCAGAATTTAAGTTGAGTTCCTAATGTTGGCTTATCACTGAGAAAGACCAAAAGAAGTATATAGCACATTACCTGTGTCCCAAACATGTCATGGTTTTGGGGGAGTGAAAACATACACGCAGACCTAATTACACATCTTCATAGGCAGCAGGTGAGTCCTATGAGACAGATAATCAGAAAGGAATTCCAAGAACGGCAGTCATTGAGAAGATTCTTAGAGAGGAGCTTCTGCTGATCCTTAAGCGATTTTGGTGACACTGGCTTATGCCAAGTAACGTCATATCTGTTAAATTTTCTTTAATTTTTCTCAATCAGAATAGAAAATTTAATGTTACATCTGGAATAAAATCGGAAATTCATAGTAGTACCTTAAGTACTTGTTGATGTGACTTATTAACTTGACATCCCTTGACCTCTCCCTTCCTCTGTTAACTTGAAAAGAAACGGGTTTGTAGCAGTGTTTTTCTTCATGGCATTCATTCCCCACATGTGGTATGTGTGCAGTGTGGTGAAGAGAGAGGGAGGATAGGAGTTTTTTTTTAGTTAGAGTCTCACTCTGTCACCCAGGCTAGAGTGCAATGGCATGCTGATGGCCACTGTAGCCTCTACCTGCTGGGCTCAGGCAATCCTTCTGCTTCAGCCTTCCAAGTAGCTGGAACCACAAGCATGTGCCACCATGCCAGGCTAATTTTTAAAAAAAATTTATTATAGAGTTGAGGTCTTACCATGTGGCCCAGGCTGTTCTTGAACCCGTGGACTCAGGCAATCCTCTCGCCTCCACCTCCCAAAGTGCTGGGATTCCAGGCGTGAGCCACCATGTCCTGCTGGATAGTAGTTTAGTGGATACCTCTCTGTGGTCAGCTTTGTGCTGGGTATAGAAATGGTGAGCATTTACATTTAATGAACATATGAGACCAGTTTCTGTTAAAAAGACTGTGAAAATGCAGGTGCCATGATGTCCCTGTGGGGTCAGGGCCACATGAGTCTGTCTCAGAGGTTTGCAGGTGGCAGTAGGAATTCACATGGGAGAAACTGAGCGGTCATAGGTGCTCTGGCTGTCTGCCTCAGACATGGGAGCCCCTGAGACAGACGTAGGGGGCAGCTTAGTTGGGTGGGGCCTGTCAGTGGACGAGGGAGAGATGTGCAAGGCATGACTGTAGATGGGACCGCCTCTTGTGCTGGCATTACAGGCGGAAGTTGGATCTGGGGTGTTATGAACTCCAGAGTGGAAGCTTGGCTTAAGCTGGCATGTCACGGTACTTTCTCTGTGCCAAACCCTGCCAAATACTTTAGTAACTTCTTTTATCCTTGTTGCCACCCTGTGAGGTGGGTACTGTCATTATTTCTCAGATGAAGAAACAGGCACAGAGCAGTTAAGTTTCACACTAAGTTGCCACAGTCAGGGAGCGGCAGTCCTGGCTCCGAGTGAGGCCACACTCTTGAGTCTCTGAACTCATCTCCATCTGGGAGTGAAGTTGGTGTCCCCAGGCTGGGAGAGAAGAGCTGGACATGGGCACTGCCAGCTCCAGCATCCATGTGCACACAAGTGGCTCTTTTTTGCTAGCTTTTGGAAATTGGAGAACATTTATTTTGCTCACTCTTAGTTGTGTTTCAAAGCTTTCTCTTCTTGTTGGTAAATCCTCATTTTAACTAGAATAGAACTGAATTTTAAAAAATCTTTTGCGTTGTTAATTCTGAAGTAAAAAGAAACACCTTTTCTAAAATACTTTCAAAGTCATCTTGATTGGAGGGAGGTCAAAAAGAAGATAATTTATGGTAAGGATTGATGTGAATGTGGCTTCAATGCTTCTACAAACACATAAAAATTCTCGTGCTTTTCTCAAAAGGAGAATTGGCAGTTGCTAACATTGCTTGAAGAAAGAGAAAAACATAGTAAAGGCCAGACGTGGCAGGGGGAGCTTTCCTAGAAGCCTAAGAATTTCGAAAGTGACTGTGTTTGTGGCCATAACCTCACCAGAAATAGTAACGTTTCCTGCCAGCCTCCCTCGTTGCCTGTTGCCCTGACTTCCAGCTCCATCTGGGAAAGTCAGGTGCCTGGGAATCCCTGCATACAGCACCAGGAATTCAGTATCGATAGTAGCATCTACCGTAACCTGATAATGCAGATGTACCAGGGGAATTCAAAATGTGAACGTTTACAGTCTGAGGCTTAAGTAAGATTTCTCTTGAAAGTTATATGTAAGCTAATTCAAACTGTCCCAGAAGGTATTTGCTGGTTGGTACTTCTAGGAATTGAAGATAAGATGATTACTTTTTTGTCTGCTCATTAGTATCTCAGAGCAAGGTAAAAGGAACTTGAAACTCTGAACTGCTGTGAAGTTGGGACATTATCTCTGTGCAAGTCAACTAGCTTGCTCTGATTTTTGGCCTAGAGTGTTCTTGGATCTGTAGCTGTCCATCACCCAATGGATGGTTGTAGATGACTTTCATTTTGGAAAGAGGTGTTAATGGAGGAGAGGGAGGATGAGTTCCAAATGTTTATGCCTCATCATAAAACTGTCACTGGGAGAGTATGTCTTGCAAAAGGTAGTCATGTGACTTTTATATGTAAAACGTAGAATCTGCCTGCATGTGTCTTTCTGCCTACCAGCTGTGTTGGAGTTCTTAATCTGGGTCTGTGAATGGTCTTTAGAGGGTTGGGGAAGCCCCTGGAAGGGTATGTACAGTATTTTATGGAGGGTTTATCCCTCCAGTAGATTCTCAGAGTAGTGATTAGGAACTCACATGGTGATGGTCTTTTTACCATGTGACCCAGGCGATCTTCCAGAATTCTGTCTTGAGTTCCAAGTCTATATTTCTACCTGCCTCCTTAGTATTCAACCTGAATGTCCCACAGAAACCTCAAACTCTATAGGTCCCAAATGATTCCCATCTTTACCTTCCAAACCTGCCCTTCCTGTAATTCCACTCACCTGCTTATAGAGATAGAGACCCAGATAGAGACCTGGGCATAGTATGCTTTCTATCTAGTTGCTTTGAAATCGTGTTGGTCCTGCCCCTGAGCTGGTCCTACATGGATTCCCTCTCTGTTTCCATGCCATTGCCCATGGCAGGCCCCTCACTGCTCCCCAAAACTACCTGTTAGGCTGCGTGTTCACAGCTCTCACCCTGTCTCACCCATTTTCCATCCTGCCACCAGCCATTTCCAGGCTAAAGCACCACACCAGCTCTCCAGTATCTAGAAGGAATATGCCCCCTTAGGACTCTTTGTAATCTGTTCTTGATCTTTTTCTAGAGGCTTCACTTATCCTCTTTCCTACTTCCCAAAAGTTCTGTGTTCTAGCTGCTTGGATTCTCTGTTGCCCAGACCCAGCACGCAGTTCATGCCTCTGTTCTTGCGCATGTACTGCTTTGGTCTCCCACCCAGCTCTCATCTCCAACCCAGCCTTCTGTGCTTGGTTCTGGCCACACCTCTCCTCGAGGTCTTTCTTGACCGCTCTGGTCCCATCTGGAGGTTCCCTCCTTCCCTCCAACTTGTGCTCTGTGTTGTCGCTGTCACTTGCCCTTTCTTCCTGCCAGACGGAACTCTTTGGAAGTAGGGCTTCCATCCTCTTCTGTATCCTGTACCACCTAGCACAGCTCTGGGCACATGATAGGTGCCTTTTAACAGCCCTTTAATGAACCACTGAAAGCCACCAGCATACCACTCATGAAGTTGCCTTACAACTTGATCTGTATTATAAGTGAGTCTACTAGGTTTTGAGTCATACAAGGTCAGGGACCCTGTCTTATTCATGTTTGCACCATCAGTACTGTGCATGGTCAGTACCCCAGGATGGATGTGTTGGAATGAACAGCTCTCGCTTGAGCTGCACAATTCACAGATAACTTCCCTGATTGTAGCTATTGCAGGAATTTTGTACATATTATTTGTCTGTGAAAGACATCAGTGGAGTTGGGACTTTTTCCTGCTGGAAGTGAGCAGTTCAGTCTTTGACTGTGCTTACCCTTGGCTAATTTAAGCAGCTTTATGGCTTTTCACTCAGATCTCAACTTAAATATGATACACTGCTCACTTGTTGACTTCACGTGTAGGCAAATACCTGCTGGTGTTTCATCTTGGAAGGCTGTGGGGATAACTGGGCTGCAGCCACCTTCTGTCCAGGCCCTGCTCATGGTAATTCTTATCACTTGCGTGTCCCAGGCACTCTCCTGTCCCAGGTGTTGTGCTGGGTTCTTTGCTTACTTTATTCTGCTTAATCGTCACAGAATGAGGATAGTTGAGAAAAAGCAGATTCAGAGACACCATGAGACTTGGCAAAGTCACACAGCTAGGGAATAGCTCGGCTAGGGTTCAAACCTGCCTTTGTCTGAATTCAAGACCTGGGCTGTTTCCATTCAGTGTCGCCACTTCTGGAGACTTGCAGTGTGGTTCTGAGTAAGATGTTCAGCATGGTTAAATCTCATATCAGTGAGCAAGTGCCTTCTTTTTCAGTGATTAGAGAATCCATGGTTTGGATTGATTTTTAAAAATTAGCTTCATGGGAGATAATTTTATATTCTAAATATTTTTAATGACTCCTTTATAAACATTTCAAATTATATTATATAAATATTTTATTACTTAATATAATTTTTCTGGGAAAGAATGTCCTGGAAATTTCCAGCTGACTGCAAGTGTTTGAACTATGTGTAGCTTGTTTGGGGTACACAAAAGCCAAATCTGTTTTATGGGAAGTGAGACGTGCTTCTTCTGTGGTCTCCCTCTTGATGGAAGCCTCCGGTAATGCAGTGATAGTCCCTGGGGAGAGGGGGTGATTTATAATTGGGTTTCTTTTGTTGTGCTTTGGTGTTATGGGCATGTTTGCTGGACCCAGGACTGATTTATTATCATGTGAAAAATGCATTCATTCCTAGAAATGGAAGATGGAAAAGACCCATTGAGGGCCTCACATTATTGTGAAAACTTGTTGAAGGATGTGCCTTGTTCAACTTTCAGATTTCTTTGTCTACTTGAAAGGACCCAAGTGGAGAACTTCCACCACATTGCTTTGTTCCATTGTCTACAACTTCTTGTAATTATGGACTGGTAGTTGTTCAGCAGCTTTCACTTCCATGCCAGTAAGAAAAAAACTTTCAACAGTAGTGGGAACAGAGGACAAAAATAAGTAGACTGGAAAACCAGAAGAATCTGGGGATTCTTTTTGTGTGACAGCGTCTAAACTTTCCTAAGCCAGTTGGCTTATTTTAGTAGTTTCTGTTGCATGGGTGGCAGTAGAAAAGTTTGGGCTCCAAAGTGGTTTTAGTTCCATCTCTGCATCTTCCAATTCAGCTGCCCTCATATTCTCTGTGTTTTCACGTCCCTTCACACTCACAGTTCTCCTTCCTCCTCTCAGATATTCCTTCCCTCTGTTTGGCTGCTTCCTCTCCAGGCCCCCAAGGCTACTCAGTGACAAATCCCAGCAGTTGGTGGCATACTGGACAAAAAAATTGACTGCACATACTCCTAACCATATTCACATTTAGGCTGTTAAACATTGGGTTGTTACTAATTCATTATGGAGTTAAATGCAAGTAATTTAACTTTTGTAAATTTTTCATTTCTCAAGTAGTGAAAATTAATTATTGTTAAATTGTATGTTCTTGGGTATTCACTTTCATGCATTTTGATGTCATACAGCTTATTTTTTCTTTAAAACAAGAAGTTTTATAAAGATTTTAATACAGCATTGGTGAGTTTTGAAGAAAAAAGTTATCATCATACAATCATAAAAGGGGTGCCCAGTGTGATGTCAGAGCTGTGCTGTGCTAGGGGGTTCTATGGAAGTGAAATCAATAGGACCACTGCCCTTGAAGAACTTCTGAGAAAGAATTTATGGTCATAGCCCTGGGCTGCATAAGGGACACAGGGCCTCAGTTACATAAATGTTATGAATTCAATATTTACATTATTTACAAAGGATACGCATAACTATTGCAGTGGTGGCTGAGGACTGGCTTCGGATCAGTGCGCATCAAGGGAAGATGTAGATCCCACTGTTCCCATATGCTTGAGGAAGACCGTTGGAAGAGAGTAGGATTTAAACTCCTGCTTTCCAGACTTCCTGTCTCTCCAGCATTCTCTGCTGAACCTGCACGATGGGCCCAGACTCCCCAGCCTACGTCCCAGGCCTCCTCCCTGCCTCATGGTGTGCCTTCAGCCCCAGCTCCTGGCATCAGCTTGGCTGAGAGCCTTTCTCTCTTTCTCCCCACCCCAACAGCTGTCCATTGGTTCTGTGTTGTGTTGCAGCCTGGGCCTAGGATGTCCTCTCCTTTTCTTTGCCTCGGTCCACATCTGACAAAATCATTAAAGATGAACAAACAAAACCAGTGTCATGTAGGTCACTGTCAGTTAGGGAAAGGCTGTGTTAATCATCCCATCAAGTAAGAAGGGCATCATCTTAAAAAAGGCGTAAACTTAAAGTTGAAATACATTTAATTTTTTTAAAAATAATAAATGCCCAATAAATGCTCCTTATTTTTAACATCTTTACTGAGAGCCAATAAAAATTTTATCAAAGATCAGTTTTCAGGAACCCTGAGTTAGCCAGTTCTCTCCTAGGCATACAGTTAATTTGGGTACTTTCCCACATTTTATCCTATCTTTTTGGTTGTTTTATAGTTATATATATATTTTTTTCTTTCAAAATGGCACGTATTTTGTTAACAGCATCTGTGTCATCCTCTTCTTGTGCTGGTGTGCACATGGCCCCGTGTTTTGCATTGAGAGTCATGTGTGTTAGGTTACAGTCAGGGAGGCGGGATGGACAGAGAATATGCTGGATGTGCTTCAAGAGAAGCCTCGGTGGAAGAAGACACGGGCCTGTTTCTGATGAGGATTTGAGCAGTTCACAATACAAATGAAATAGAACGTACCCTATGCAAGACTTTGAACCACTGACAAATTAATTCAAGGCCATATCAGTTTACAAGGCGACCAAAGATAGAGATCCATTTTGCTGTTTGTATATGATAGTCATTCTATTTAAGTTTGGTTCTTCATGGAAAACCTGAGATTCTTGAATAGTGTTTTGACAAATTTTTCTCATACCTTTCAACTTTGACTGGGAGTTTTGAGTTGAATTATAATATGAATTGTAGCAGCATTCTCTTCATTGTATGTCCAGTGTATTTGTCATAAGATATCTGTTGTAGAAGCATGTGGGGAAGGAAGTCGTGACCACTGTGGTTTTGTCAGTTTGAAGGCATGCACAAGAGTGAAGCAGTGAGCCAGCAGCTTCATGTTCTTCGGAAGGAAGTGAAGCAGTTGCAGGTGGAAGCCACCAAGCCACCATCACTTCATGTTGTGGAAGCTGCTGTGCATGCAGAAAACTTGATTACGTAAGTTTTGAGGGCACTGCACTTAAAATACTGTTCTGTTATCATTAACAGGAATCACATACTGCTCTGTCCCTTGTTCCTTCTCCCCCATTAAATTAGTACAGAGATTGGCAAACTATGGCCTTCAGGCCAGATCTGTCCTGCTGCCTATTTTTATAAATAAAGTTTTATTGGAACACAGCCATCCCCATTTATTGATAGCATCTATGGCTTTTATGCTGCCTCAGCAGAGTTGAGTGGTGGTAACAGAGACATTATGGCCACAGAGCAAAAAGTATATGCTATCTGGCCCTTTACAGAAAAAGCTTGCTGACCCTGAATTATGAGATGACGCAGTGCCTTGGAATCCAATCACAGAGAGACTTAGTTCTTAAGTTTTATGTCCAAGTTGCATTTACCCAGGACATCATTATTACCAACTCAGATTATTGAAGTTCACAGCACAGTTGCTTCGGAGATTAGGGCTCAAGTGTAGTTGCTCACTTGCACTTGGCCCTCATTGTTTTCTCTTGGTTCTCATTGTGGTGAACTCTCACCATCTTCTTCCAAAGCTACCAGGCCACGACGTGGGAGGTTGAGGTTGACTCTCTGCTTTTGACTTTAGGACCAGCAGCTGCTCCCCTCCATAGAGTGGGATGGTGTGTGGTGGACATGGAGTCCTTCCATGAGTTGGAATGGGGGACTTGGGAGGGAGAAGGAGACCAGGCAAAAAAGAGGTCACGCCTTCATCTACTGGGAAAGGAACTTAAAAAGGTGTGAGAATTAGAAGGGATAGCTTTATCTTAGAATCTTATTCTATATCAAAATCTTTTCCTCAACCTCAGTCAATGTTTTGGATTTTAAAATTTGGAGAAATCAGGGTTCTTATGTTTAAAGATGTATATTATATAAATAATACAAAAAGTTAATAAATTATGAGTTATATGCAAAATATGAAAAATTTTAATAAGGATAAGAATGTTAGTCCTTATAATACAGCAGATTTTTTTCTCCTAGGAGAACTTAAAATCATTGCTGTATATTGAAAATCTGTTGTTGAGTAAAGTTGGAAGGTACATATTTACCCCAAGAAATATTCCTAAAGTGACATTTGTAGGGGACTCTGAGGACTCTTAAGAATATTGCCTGAGAAATGTAGGGTGTCACAGAAATCCTTGTGAAAATGAATTTTTTTTTTACTATAGACCATGATCTTACCCACAGGGCCTTAGTGAATGCCTATAAGTTGCAGCCTACACCTGGGATTCAGAAGGTTGGCATAAGCCTTTTCTTCACTGTTGTGGATTATGTCAGCGATGAGACGCAGCGCCATCCCCCCACAAGGCAGTTCTTTACTTCATGCATTGAGATCTTGGGACAGGTAAGGTTATTCTGTATTTCCAGCCTTGTTCAGATGAAGCAAGTCCCTACAATGTCTTCATTAGAGATTGAGATTGACGTCAGACTAATATTGCAGGTTCAGAGTCTTACCTCAATCAGAAGCTCCTTGGAATTGTTGGCTTCTCAAGATGTGATTAGAATTGTTGGTGTAGACTTTCGCTTTGCATACAGGAGATATTAAATAATTCATATTTGAAACTCTGGGGAGACATTGGATTCACTCATATATTATTGGTGCTGTTAACAGTAATATTACCGGTTCTTTATTTCATCTTCAAGTGACTGTGTGGTCGTTATTCCCATCTTAAATATGAGAATAGTGGACTCCAGAAGACTAAGTGTCTGGCCCAGAACATGTAACTGGTGAGTGCTGAAGCAGAGTCGAGATTCCAGGGCTTCTGACAACACCCGGTACTTGCTCTGCCTTGCCACAGCTGCCTCCCAGTTACTAGACTCGGGCAACATTTTATCTTTTTGACTTGCAGTTGAATAGCGACTATTTAACAAGGGTAAGGGCCATGCATCCATGATGATTTGTGAAATGTATCATAAAAGAAAGGAAAGCCTCTTTTGTGAAGAGTATGTAAGCACTAATTAACCTTGGCCTTGTACCCAGGTTCACTTAAATGTGTACTTATTGGATGCTTATAAGGAAGTAATGCTGAAAAGATATTGCAGTCTATGTTTTTCCAAGTTATTTTTCCTTATCATAAAATTAATCCATGTTTATTATAAGCAATGCAGACATTATAGAAGGTATAAAGAACAAAAATTTCTCACAATCCTAATTACCTAGAGGTACTGATTACATAGCTAATATGTCATCATAGTTTGTCTTGTGTATGTATATGTATTAATGTGTGTGTATATGTAAACATATTTCATTTCTACATATATATCGATAAATAGATACAGTTGCACACTTACAAATAAGCACATGCTGTTTTGTAACCCCCTTTTTCATTTAAACACATCTTCGAGACATTATTATGTGTTAATAAATATAGCCCCACATCATGACATCAGACGTCTGTGAGTGTTCTGTGATATAGACGCATCATAGTATATGGAGCCAGTGCTCTTTTTGCTACAATAAGGCTGAGGTAAGTGAGCCTTTTTTGTGAACATGTTGGCTGTTGTCTTTAGGATAGTTTCTAGAAGTGTGATACTGTGTCAGAGGCTTTGCTCTGTGTTGTGTGGGTGGTGTATTCTGCACAGCATCTGGTGTATGTTGTTGCTGCTCTCCCTGGGAGGTTTGCATCTGTTGATGCTGTCACAGCAGTGTTGAGTTCATTATTCTCTTTATCATAACCAACATTAGGAATGATCATTCTTTTAAAGTTTTGCTAATCTAATAAGGAAAGTGCTATTTTGTTATTATTTTAATTTGTGTTTCTTTGGTACTTGTGAAGTTGTATTGTTGTGGGAACATTGCGGGAAAACAGACCGTGACACCAAGGCTGTCTTAGGAAGCAGCGGTTTATTAGTGCTGGCGCGACTCAGTGGGCTAATGCTCCAAGGCTGAGCAACCCGGAGAAAGAGAGGGGTTTTATCTGTTAGTTTAGGTAAGGGAGGGGGTATAGATTTAGTGAAACCAGATTTTCAAAGAACAAATTGTCTTCAGGGTACACGTGGCAAGCAGGGGTTGTAAACCGATGACTTTACAAAGAGAGGATGTGGGGGGTAAAGTTGTGAATGGATTACTATTTTGCATTTTTAGGAAAGCGACCTTTGGCTATTTGATTTTCTCACATCTCATTATCTAGCAAGCCTGGAGCTTGCAGATTGATTTTTTTTTTTTTGAGTTGGAGTCTCACTCTGTTGCCCAGATTGGAGTGCCGTGACCGCTCCCGGCCACTGCAGCCTCGACCTCCTGGGCTCTGGCAGTCCTTCCGCCTCAGCCTTCCAGGTAGCTGGAATTACAGGCATGTGCTGCCACGCCCAGCTAATTTTTTGATTTATTGTAGAGATGAGGTCTCGCCAAGTTGCCCAGGCGGGTGTCAAACCCGCGGGCTCAGGCAATCCACTCACCTCAGCCTCCCAAGGCGCGGGATTACAGGCTGAGCCACCGAGCCCGGCTGCAGATTGATTTTTAAAGGAATATTTTTAACTGTTATCAGCCCCTCTCTGCCACAGTATATGTCTTTTCATATGTTTTTTGGTCATTTATATAAATTTTTATGAATTGCTGGTTGTTGTCTTTTGCACATTTTTTGTTAGACTTTCTTGTTTTCTGATTGCTTTGAAAGAGCTCCTTTAACCTGGCATCTGAAATGTGTTATAAATACATTTTTCTAGATTGTCATTAAAATCAAAATTATGTTGCTTTTTGCCTTATAGAAGTTAAAATTTGAATATATGCAACTCTGTCTTGTTCTTTTATTATTTCTACCTGTGATCAGCCTTATCAAAGCCTTTCTGCCCCTGAGATTATTTAAATATTCACTTATGTTCTAGTACATTTTAACATTAGAAACAAGTTAAAGCAAGATGATGTTACCCTGAGTATAGGTTAATTGCAAAAGTAAGCTTTTGAAAGGTATTAAACACATGTCTCAGTAAAATCTATAATCTGGAAGTTTTGTTTTCTTGACATAGTGCAAGCAGCACCCTTGGTACTTAGTAATCATGGTAGGCATACTACACATTTCTGCATTCATATTACAGTATTTTAATCTCTTAAATATTTTGTAGTGCAGTTAACTCAATTTTCTTCATAAGGCTTGTCCAATTATGATTAATGGATTATTCAGAATTTTTACTATCACCTACATTGGAAGAAATAGCCATCTCTATGTTGGTTTTTAGCTATCTATCTTTTGATTTTTTTCATATTTTCACTTAGAAAAAATTCTGTTCACCTCATTTGATACCTCTTAAAACTTAGTTGCTTAAAGGGTTGAGAGGAGAGAATTTGGTGGCATTGTCTCTTTTGTTTTTTTTTTTTTAATGAGTTGGGGTCTTGCTGTGTTACTCAGGCTGGGGTGTAGTGGCACCATCACTGCTCACTGTAGTCTTGACCTCCTGGGCTCAGGTGATCCTCCCGCCTCAGCCTCCCGAGTAGCTGGCTAATTTATTTTATTTGATTTGTAGAGATGACGTCTCACTATATTTCCCAGGCCATTCTTAAACTCGTGAGCTCAAGCAGTCCTCCTGCCTCAGCCTCCCAAAGTGCTGGGATTATAGGTGTGAGCTACCACACTCGGCCTCATTGTCTCTTTTAATTTTTTCAAGGTGTTTATCAGTGGCACTAAATCAGAGTGCAAAAAAGTGCTTCAGACCATTTTGAAGAACAGAAGGCTCTGCTCCCTCCTGTCTCCCTTCTTTACTCCTAATGCTGCACCCACAGAGTTCATACAGCTGTATGAGAAGGTGGTGAAGTTTCTATGTGAGGACAACAGTGACATGATTTTCATGCTGCTGACCAAGGTGAGATGTAATCCTCTCCTGGTGTTATTGTTGAAAGTAGACACGGTTGTCATTGTCCATTCCACAGAAATGGAAGAACCTCTGGAGTTTCCTTCCAGGTGACAGTAGGCCTAGAGGCCTCTTTCACGTCTTGCACAGCTTTCAAGCAGCCCAACCCCACAGCTTCTTCTTGGGATGGTGGGGCGTTGGTTTTGTTGGGTCAGATGTCATCTGTCTTCACACAATATAAAAAGGACATAGTTCCCAAGCTCTTTTTTAAAAACTTAGTACAGTTTTGAAAATAGTCATAAGAGTAGTTTAGTACATTCTTTTAAATTTATCCTGAATTTATGCCAAAATTATGATTCATAAAAGAGTTTTATAATATGTCAGAGTCTCTCATATTTAGAATAAGGCAAATGTAAGCACATTTCCTGTGTCTTCATTCTGAATAGAACGTTAACTCTGTTACACTAAGGCAGTAAATTTACTTAAGTGCTTGAGAATGTCAGGGCCTTAACTATTTGCCTTCAGTTGTCTTCCTCTGACATCTATGAATCAAGGCTACCTGGGCGTTTTTAGGGTCTAGAGACTGATACCAGTCTACAGTGGAGGAGAGCATGTTTTATAGTTTGGGATTTTGGAAGGTAGTATCAACAGCCTGAGTTTTTTTTGTTTTTGTTTTTTTGTTTTGAGTTGGAGTCTCACTCTGTCGCCCAGACTGGAGTGCAGTGGCCGTTCCTGGCCACCACAGCCTCGACCTGCTGGGCTCCGGCGATCCTTCCACCTCAGCCTTCCAAGTAGCTGGAACTACAGGCGCATGCTACCACGCCCGACTGATTTTTTGATTTTTATTGTAGAGATGAGGTTTTGCCAAGTTGCCCAGGCGGGTCTCAAACCCGCGGGTTCAGGCAATCCACTCACCTCAACCTCCCAAAGCACAGGATTACAGCCTGAGCCACCAAGCCTGGCTGAGCAACCTGAGTTTTTATCAGCAGAGGTGGGAAATGACACAGACACAGAAACATGGCTGTTACCTTGAGACTTCCATGTATTGACTGCCTGTGGTCCATGACCAGAGAAGGAGATCTGCGGAGTTCTGGTCTGGGACTTGCAGAGGAAGCTGACAATAGTAAGACAGCTGGAAATGTGTGGGCCTTTCAGGAATATAGTAAAATCATGAAGTCATAATGAATGGTCAGGAAGATGTTAACAGAGCTTAGGAAATGCTGCCCCTGTGGTCCCAGAGTATGAAGTGACAGTGGATGCACACTGGTGCAGTGCACTGGGGACTGTCCCACGCCTCTGTGCACTCGTGTGTACATTCACTTTCTGAGTTTGTGAAATGCTGGGCAATCTGTGACTTTTAAGTGAAATTTGCACATACCTCTCTCTACTTAAGTTGATTTTCGAGTGTAAATAAAACTGGTTCTTGTTTCTTTTTCTTTTTAGTTCGATCTTAAGCAATGGTTAAACGCCACTAAACCTCCTCTGTCTGATCGTACCAGGCTCCTGGAGTCCATTCACTTGGCACTTACTGCCTGGGGCCTTGAACCAGATGAGGATATTTTGATGCCATTTAATCTTTTCTGTAAGCACTGGACTTACCTTCTTCTCTACCAGTTCCCTGACCAGTACAGTGACATTCTCAGGCTACTGATGCAGAGTAAGTATCTTCACTTAATTGTGACTAACTAGATCTCAGTGAATATTTAACATCACATTTCCCCTTCAATAGATGCCATTAAAAAATGTAGAAATAATCTAGGCACAGGAATTTAGACTCACTTGTTGTCACCTAAGAGGCTTGATGAACCACGCCCAAAAAGCTATTATCTGTAAAATTGGCCGGTTACTGTTGTGAATGTTAGAATGGGCTCTGACTGGCAAGGTAGCACCCAGAGCCCACAGTCAGACATCCACCTCTGCACCTTGACTTTGCAGCTGTCCTGAAGTGGAACTGGGTGGGAGGTACCTGCTTGCTCCATAGATGCCATCTGGCAGGGGAAGAAGGTTGCTCCTTTACAGTAAGTTGAATATGTCAGTTGTTTTCCTGAAGATCCAGATAGTGGGTACATTTTCGGGTTTTTTCCTTCAAATTTTTTCCTTTTGCTTTTTGCAAGAGGCAAATGAATTGTGTCATATATAAAATGGACTGTGTTTGCATTTGCCAGGGGAAAGGGCAGCGGGAGAGTTTCCACATCCCACCATCCCTGCCCCCGGCAGTTTTCCACAGGAGGTTTAGACATAGAGGAGACAAGAGTTTTAGACCATAGAGGAGACAAATGGTGGAGGCATTTTGAGTTCTGGAATTTCGCTAGGCAGTCATTTTATTGAAATTTGATAAATTGAGATAGTATTTCCTTTTTCTATGCCAACTTTATACTGGCTATAGAGGTCATGGGAAACTCAATTTTGCTTTATACCAAGTGTTTGTGTTTCTTAATAGAATTGTAGAACAGAATTGTGACTCAGGGTATGGACCACCTGAAGGATCGTGAGGTGCATGTCTCTCATTTTCAAGACACTGCAAGCTTTCATTGTTCCCCGCAGAGCTGAGTTGTGAACTGGGTGGAGAATAGTGGTAGAGAAATGGATTTGTACACCTAGTCATGAAAATGTGCATAGCTAGTTATTGTTCTCCACTTTCCAAATTTGAACAAGTGTGTATTGTGGGTTTTCCCCTGAAACCTTTTTAAGTGATTATAAACTGTTTATGAGACTACCATAATTTGCATCTCCTTGTCAGGAAAAGTCATTCAGCACAGGTTTAAGAGTAATGCGCCACACTCCTCAGATCCTTGCCCTGCAGCCCCACAGAGCTCTCAGTGTCCTTTCCTCCCCAGCTCTCATGTTGTGCTCAGTGCTGCCCATTGCCCTCTCTCTACTACATCTGTGTTCTCGAGGGGAGCCTGCTGGGCTCCGGCCTCGCTGCCATCTTCAAGGTGTGCATGGCTCCCACAGCTAGTTCCAGACCACCATCCTAAGACCCAGACCACCATGGCCACTGGACCCAGCCCTGTCCCCTAAGTACCTCACATGTGACATATTGCAGTTCCTCAGACCGTTCCTGTGAACCTGTGTTTTTCCTTTGGTTTTAATGATCCCTCTGGGTGGAAGCCCTCCATGATATGCTATTCCTACTCTCAGGACTGTTGTAGACATGGGCTGGTGGACTCCACTGTTCTCCATGCCTCTGGGCATGGCTCAGATTTCAGCTCTTTGAGGAGTGGAATTAGGGCCAGCAGGGGGCTCGTTCAGTGTTGCCTTCTATTTCCCATCTCCCCTGTCCTGTCACTGTCTCTCTCATACCCTCCAGCCAGGAGAAGGGCACCTTCCCCATTCCCCGGCCAGGTGGGTGGTGGAGTCCCCCACCCAGCCCAACCCTGCTGGCTTCAACCACGCTCACTGCCAGCAGGCCCACCAGGCACGAGGACAGTCCAGCATGTGGACACTCATTCTTTCCAGAGGCTCTCTCTGTTTAGGTCCCTTTACCCCAAGTGTCCCCGTGTATTTGTTCTGGATTTTTACTTAATTATTATTTCTTTGGATTCAAGTTGGAAAAGTCCCTTGGGGACAGATGCCGACTCACCCTCTGTTTCGCCCACAGGCTCCGCTGAGCAGCTGCTGAGCCCTGAGTGCTGGAAGGCCACTCTGAGAGCACTGGGCTGCTGTGCCTTGAGCTGCCAGCAGGGAGCAGCCTCTGCCGAGAGTGCCGTGCTCCAAGGCCCTTTGGATGCGCTTCTGTCGGACAAGCAGGTGCAGCTTTGCTCTCCCTCTGCTCGCTTCCTTTCCATTCCCGGCAACTTGTAACAGCTGGAACACTTGTGTGTTATTTGTAAGAGCCTGTGTATCTCGTTGCTGGGCCTTGCTTCCCCCCTGACCCCGGTGCACAATCACTTCACTGATGCCCCTGAGCTCAGCTCTTTCCTGTCTGTCCAGGGCGAGTGCAGGTGCTCCCGCATAAACCTTTCCTGTCCCTTAGCCTATCTGGGACCCCTGGTCAGGCATCCGTGGTGGAGAGTCCCACAGAGCTCTTGGTTCTACTAGTTCTGTCTGATACGAGTTCATATGAGAACTTACTTGAGATAATGATTCTACTGCTTTTGAAAACTTTGAACACACTGATTTGCCGTTCACAGGCTTCATAGCTTTGCAACTCTGTTATAAAAGACCTGCCACGCCCCCTCACAAGGTACCATACTGCTCTGCTAAGGTAGACATGGAACATTTTTTAACTGGTCATCTCTTTCAGGTGATGGAAACTATACAGTGGCTTTCAGACTTCTTTTATAAGCTTCGATTATCCAAGTTGGATTTCAGAAGCTTTGGTTTATTCTCAAAATGGAGTCCTTACATGGTTGATGTGAAGACGTTCTTGGGCTATCTTGTGAGAAGGCTGATTGACTCAGAAATTACCTGCTTAGCCCAGGATCCATCTGCCAGCAGCAAAACAGGTGATGCACTTTGAGCGCAGCGTGAGGCTCTATGTTCCAGGCTTCCATTAGGAGGGATTTAAGTAGAACCATGAAGAGATGTCTATCGAATGTCAGGAGAGGAAACTGAAGATATATGGCATGGGCGTGAGCCCATACCTGTACCATGCTTGCATTTGTCACGCTGTAGGCACAGGCTGCTTGCTGCAGCTTGTCTCTACCCCACCTTTACAGGGTGTGTGTAAAGACAGAGGTTTTCTTTCTTTTTACTAAGGAAAAGGCTCTGAATATTTATGCATTTGTCTTAACGTGAATGTTATAAAATTATCCATGATGTTGTGTTGTAATAAAAATTCCTCAGTTCAGAGAAATTCTACTGTAGCACATGCCTAGTTACAGCATGTTGTTTGTGTATTGACATAGGTTTATTTGTATACAGACAAAAAGTGGGTTTTCTGTGTTATTTTATCAATGCCGTTCTCAAAGGATGAACTTGTTTTTGTTTCTAAATGTGTTGCTTTGTTTTAGTGCTGAGGACCCTTCATTCAGTCATTATCCAGCTCTTTAAGCCATGGATACTGGCTTTGGAGGACCATGAAAGGTAAATGGTTTTTCAGAAAGTCAAATTCCTCTGAAATTGATAGACTTACGATCCTAGTGGTGATTGGAAGAGATGGTGAGTTCACAGACGTAATTTCTTGTGTGGGGCCGTATTTAAATTTAGAAAATCCTTCTTTACAAAACCTAAGATACTTTCTATTTATGGAATTACTAGTCTGGGTGATCAGAGATGTTACCTTGATATTAAATTTGGAATAAAAATGACACCCATTTCCAGTCTTCCACAATAAAGAAGTTGAATGAGCTTTGCTATTTAATTTCAGAAAAATAGGTACTATTGTCCTGAGGTTTTTCTCATATCTTGATAACATAACGCTACAAAATATGAGACTGTTCTCCCCTATATCAGTTATGTTTTGGAACTAAATTGGTTATCAGATTATTGGGTGGGGCTTACCTTTAAGTGTGGAACTCTGCAGTGAGCTCAAAACATTACTTCATAAACATTTGAAATACTTAGAGGTGGAGAGCTGTCCCAATTTAGCCAGTTGCCTTTTGAGTCTTTTTTTCCCTGGAAGTAGACATGCAGAAGCTAGATAAACTTGTCAGGGTTTTATAAAAATTGCGATGGTGGTAAGCATCATGTTATAGAAGTTGTTTTCAAAATCACTAATTTGAGTCTGAGCCTCAGAGAGCGTGAATGTCATACTCAAGTCTCACAGTGGCTGGGTAGTGCCAAAGCTGGGTCTGGAGCTCAGGTCTTTGACTCCTGTTTGTAGACTTTTTGCCTTAACCCAGGCTGCTTTGAGATCCCCGTAGGGAATGTGTAAGAGGTTCTGGATGTATGCTTTTGCTATGGGACTATCCCTGAATAATCTGCAGCCCAGGATTTGTGGTGACTGTATATAGACTGCTGACCACAATGCTGGCTGCTTGTTTATTTCCAGCAATAATTAATGGCACTTATTTTGATACTGAATTTTCTGAACTAGAGTTCAGAATTAAAATTTTTCATAAAAATAGTTTCTTTGGCTGTATCCCATTCTGTTAATTTTTGGTCATCTTTTTGTTACATAAATTTGATTTTTTTTTCGTGCTTTAGGTAGAGAAAACCATTTGTTGAAGTCACCTTCAGGTGTTTTTCTTTTTTCTTTTTCCTTTATAAACCCTTGTGTTGAGGGCTGACTTTCTTTTTTTTTTTTTTTTGAGTTGGAGTCTCACTCTGTCGCCCAGACTGGAGTGCAGTGGCCACTCCCGACCACCTCAGCCTCGACCTGCTGGGTGCCGGCGATCCTTCCGCCTCAGCCTTCCAAGTAGCTGGAACTACAGGCGCGCTACCACGCCCGGCTAATTTTTTTGATTTATTGTAGAGATGAGGTCTCGCCAAGTTGCCCAGGCTGGTCCGAACCCGCGGGCTCAGGCAATCCACTCACCTCAGCCTCCCAAGGTGCAGGATTACAGACTGAGCCACCGAGCCTGTCTGAGGGCTGACTTTCAATAGATCACAGCAAGGGAGCTGCTCTACTACGTATGAAACCCTGACCCAGAAGCAGGTTGTCTGTGATTGGTCTAGCACCAGGTTCCCAATGAATAGGTGTTTTTCTAAGGCATTTGAAATATAACCAAGATGTTCAAGGGTTTAAATTTATTGTAAAAACATGTTAATTTAAGGGTTATTTAGATAGTACATTTTAAAACTTAATTGCATTGAAGTAAAGGGAAGAAAGGAGGGAAAATAAAATATGGGTTGTATTACAAGCTACAATTCACCTTCAAGTATTTACAGCCTTTGAAGTGGTCTAAATGTGTGTTAGGCTACACAAAGGGGGGGTTTTCTAGGACTTTTGCCAGCCCTAGACTCTTGGGACCAACAGTGATTTAATCATGGATGCTCCCATTTGTAAGTATGTGTTTTCTCTTCTAAAGCAGCCAACAACGACATTACCCCTGGCTGGAGAGTGATGCCGTGGTGGCCTCCAGCATCGTGCAGTTATTCACCGACTGTATTGGCTTGTTGCATGAGAGTTTTAAAGGTAGGAAGATGTCTGGCTCTGTCTCTGGTTAGTTTCATTCTTTTTCCTAAGTCATTCAGTGAATCTTTTGCTTCTGCTTTCCTAATTTATTTAATTTTATTTTAGTTGATAGGTATTTGTCTGTGACTGAAGAAAGACCACTAATACAATTATCTAGTATTACGTTTGTCACTTCTTATCTTTTGTGTGAGGCTGTTCTGAGTTTGTCAGTTATGGAAGATATGCAGCCATTCTCTCTTCAAATGTTGCCTGCCCTGCCTGTTGAACTTTTTCCTGTCCTTTATAACTCTTAACCTCTTTTTCATATATTCTATCTTTTTGTGCATTATTCCGGGTAATTTCTTGAGGGCTGTCTTCCAGTTATTCAATCTCTTTCTCCAGCTATTGTGTAATCTGCCTAAAATACATCAATTGAATTTTTAATTTCAGTAATTATATTTTCCATTTCTAGAAGATCTATTTGTTTGTTTTTCATATCTACCCTGATTTTCTTTGGTAACATCATCTCTTTTGTTTAAGATTCTAATTTCTATTTCCTTAAACTGTTTAAACATGCTTACTTTATGATCTGTAGGCAATAATTCCATTATCTGAAGTTCTTTTGGGGGTGCCTTATGCTACTGTTTGATGTTCGTTTGAACTCATTCTTGGGGGCTTGTTTCCTTGGGTGTTTGGTAATTTTGTGTGTGGGTTCATATGTGAACAGACTTGACTTGTAGAAATCCCGCTAGGTCTAGGTTGAGAGTATGCAAAGCAGCAAGTCCAGGGAAGATCTGTGTTTGTTGTCCATTGAAACTACTTGCTTTCTTGGCTTGGGGTTTCCCCCACAACAAGTTATTTGAAATCAGAGCCCAAACTCACTATCAGGCAGGCCTCAATTTTCAACTTTTTTCTCTCTCCAGACTCAGAGTCTAGGCTAAGGCAGAGACGTTTCCTCTTTCCCCCAGTCATCCCTTCAGTGAGGATGTAGTCCTTGGAAGACCTTGTCTTCTATCTCCTTATGCTGTTAAAACCGAGGAAGTAAATAGTCCTGAGGCGACTGTGGCTTCAGCATCAGTTGAACACTCTGGTTTCCTGTCTCTCTTTGCTTCTCCTCCTGCTGTTTCCTTCCATGAAGGGTACCCAGCTATGCATTTCAAAGATGTCGTGTTTTACTCAGGGGATCCTAGAGTTCCACATTGAGTCTTATAAGCCTATCAGGTCTACTCAGCCATGATTCTTGCAGTAGCCTCCTGTTCTTACTGTCTCCAGTTTCTGTTCTTGCCTACACTGGTGTAATTTTCCTAGAATTTATGTCCTGTGATATTTCTTCTCAGGAAGTTTTAAGGGTATTGTTTTAGCTCAGAGTTCAATGTGTCTGCCCATGCATGTCAACAACACAAGGTAGTGTTTTCTTGTAAAAGCCTTCATTCTAGCCATACTGTTCTCCTCACTGCTCCCAGGAGTCCTTGTACCTTCCTGTGCTGCTCAGATGGGTTCCACTACCTGGTGAAGGTGTGGCTCTTCAGACTTCTGTGTGTTTATGCCTGGACATTTTCCTCCTGCCTGGAGTCTCCTTAATACATTGTTGAAGTTTGAGTCTTTGAGAAGTGGACACCAAGATGGAGTTAGAATCCCAGAGTTATTTGGGGCAAAGCCTGTGAGGTGAGAGGGCTGGGAGCAGGAGAGAGGATGGGAGGGGAGGGCAGGACCCCAGCCGCCCACACAGCTCTAGGAAGGTACTGACTATGCCAGTGTGCAGTTTGGTGCAAGAATGCTTCATCATTGATCCCCACTCCGGGCAGTGGCAGCCAGGCCTGTGCTCTGCAGTTGGCCACAAGTTGCCTGGGAGGTGTGGTCTCCACTCAGAGGCTGTACAGCTCCTGGAGGTGTGGCAGCTGGGGCAGCTGGAGCAGCAAGTCCTGTTTAAAGGGAATGTAAGTGGCACACCTCCCTGGCTACCACATGTGTGTGGAATTTAGTTATGGAGTTGATAATATGGCATCCAGGTTGTTTCAATAACAGACTTTATTTTTTGCTTAACCGACTATTTTTTAGAGCAGTTAGGTTCTCAGTGAAATTGAATGTCAAGTACAGAGAGTTCCCATGCATCTGCGCCTCACACACAGCCTCCCGAGAGACATCCCCCACCAGAGGAATGCGCTTGTTAGAATGATGTCCCTGCAGTAAGGTGTCGTCACACAGAGCCCATTGTTCATTAGGTTTCACCTGGGTGTGCGCATCCTGGGGCTCTGCACATGGGTACAGTGACATGTGTCCTCCATCATGGTGTCAATGCTGAGTAGTTTCACTGTCCTGAAAGTCCTCTAGGCACTGTCTATTCCTCCCTTCTCTCTGACAACTACTGATCTCTTGACTATCTCCATAGTGTTGCCTTTTCCAGAATGTCATGTAGTTGGAATCACACAATGTGTATTCTTTTCAGACTGACTTCTGTCACTTAATATGCATTTAAGTCTTTTCACGTCTTTAGAGCTCATTTCTTTTTGTCTGGATATACCAGATATCTTTTACCTACTTACTCAATTTTATCTAAACAAAGCTGTCTTGTATCCATATTTAAACAAATTCTGTCCTTAAACCCCTGTTTTAAAGGTTAAGAACACACATTCCTGTTTCATGCTGGGTTGGGGAATTGTGGCCACAGGAGTATTAGAAATGATCACTGTCAGTGCTTGCTGGCCATTTTTAAAAAGATCTGTGTTGAGGAATGCCAGAGGTGTCTGTTGTTCTTGTGTGAGGTTCTCACTTCTGTTTCTGCATTCCATTCTTTGCATAGAACCAGAAAGTCTGAAACCACTGACTTTAGATTAAATGTGCCTTCTGTAGCCATTAGTCTTTGGGGCCATTAAAGGAATTGATACTTACAAGGATAATACGAAATAATTCAGGTCGCAGAAAAGTGTGAGATTCGTGGGAGAATGGCTTACGTGAATGGCAGTTGGTAGTCTAGTTTTATTACACCAAGGGCTAAATTTTAGTCACTTAGAACTTTTTTTGGTTAAAAATTTTATGAATATTATTTTTGATTAACAAATCATAATTATATACATTTATGAAGTGCAGTGTGATGTTTTGAAATAGTGTACAGTGTGGAATGATACAATTAAGCTAATTAACATACCCATCACTTTGTCTATCATTTTTTGTGGTGAGACATTTGAAATGTGCTCTTAAAGTTATTTTGAAATGTACAATGCATTATTAATAACTATAGTCACTCTACTGTGCAATAGATCTCTAACCCTATTCCTCTTGCGATCTGGAGCTTATACCCTTTGGTAGGCAACTCCCTCATTTCCTCCCGCCTCACTCTCCCAGCCTCGGGTAACCACCATTTGACTTGCTACTTCTAGGAGTTCAGCTTTATTAGATTCCACATATGACTGAGGGTGCCTCTCTGCTTCTGGCTTATTTCAATTAGCATCTTTCCTCCAGGTCCTCCCATGTGACAGGATTTCATTCTTTTTTTAATGCTGAGTAGTATCCCATTCAGCATACATCCCACACTTCTTTATCCATGTATCTGTTGGCAGACACGTGGGCCGATTCCATGTCTTGGCTATTGTGAATCGTGCTGCAGTGGACATGGAGTGTGGGCATCCCTTTGCCATATTGACTTAGTTCTTTTGGACATGCACTCAGGAGCGTGATTCCTGGATCTGTGATAGTTGTTGGGTTTTTGAGGAGCCTGCATGTCATTTTCCATGATGGGACTGTGCTTAGTTACATTCCCACCAGCAGCGGGTGGTTCCCTCTTCTCCACCTCCTCCCCAACACATGCTGTCTTCATCTTTGATAAGTGCCAGTCTGCTAGGCATGCAGTGATCTCTCATTATGGTTCCACTTTGCCTTTCCCTAATGATTAGGGATGCTGAGCATTTTTCATGTCCCTATTAGCCATATGTTTGTCTTCTTTTGAAAAATGTCTAGAACATTTCCTTTTGAGGAATATTGGATTCCTCCAGGGTGCCAAATAAATGAAACACTAAACACATGAGGCTGAGTATGTGCTGAGGGCAACTGTCTGCCAAAGCGTATTTGAACTAAAGAGCCATCTATTTAGAAGTTCTGAGGAAAAACACCAGCATTCCAGTTCCTCGAGTAATTCAAGTGCATTCTTTATTATTCATCTGTCAGTGGTCTCCCCATAATTCCCACCCCTGAACATGAAATTCTTTTATATTGGGTAAAGAATGAAAACTTCAGATTGAATTTTTTTTTAAAAGAAAAACCAAAGGTCTTCAGCTGCATTTTCTTTCTAAATTCTAGGTAAGCTGTCACCAGGTGATGAAGGCGCTCTTTGGTTGCACCTGATGCATTACTGTGACACGTGCACAGCCCCCAGAATGCCTGAGTTCATCCTGTATGCGTTTCATAGCGCATACCGGCAGCTCCAGTGGAAGGACCTGCAGCCAGACCAGCTGCTCATGGAGGCCTTCTTTAAGGTGGGCCTTGCTCTGTGTGGCACGACCTGGGGAGCTCTGGCCTCCAGGGAGCAGCTTGGTTGCTGTGGTGGTTGTGCACAGTGGCATTGTGTGCCAGAGCGGGCTGTGTGGCCTCTGTGGTGCTTATGGAAAGCACATCCCTTGGAAGTCATTCCATCGTGTCACTAGATGACTAGAAAACATCACAGGGCCATTCTCAAACCCAAAGAAAGATCTTACCTATAATATGTCAGTTGTCCCCTAGATGCTAGTGATAATGTTGCGTGAGTACATAGCTTCATGACCTTGTCACATTCGTTCTTCATAGTGTTTATGTGTGTATGTCATTAGGCTACTCATGTTAGCTGCTCTACTAAAGCAGAATTTAAGTTGGTGCTCAAACCATTAGCTTCCTTGAGCAGTTTTGCAAGTGAGCAGACTGTAGGAGATCAAATGCATTTGACAGCAATGATACATCACAGTCACACAGATACCTGAAATGACCTGAGACAAGTGCCATAGACAAGGACTGGGAGCTCTTGCAGGGGAAGCGATTGTTACAGAAAACAGGCAGCGGAGTCTAAACCAGTAGCCATCAGACATTTGGAGCTGTTTTTGTTTTTCTATTTTTTTTTTAAAACAAAAACCTTTATAATCCTGGCTTAGGTTTTTATGACAGTTTTGGCCATTTGCTTATAATCATTGGTTCATTTGTGTTTACTCTTAATGTCACATTTATTATTGAGCCATCATAAGTACCATGATGTAGATGTACAGTTATGTATGACAGTTAGTACAATGTCCTGAATCTCTCCATGTTCTTCATAGCACTGCTTATGTCAGCCATGCCTCTGCACTGAGCTCTATAGAAGGCTGAGGGCAGTTGTTCTAGAGAAATTCGGGGTTGAAAAGTAATTTTTTAGCCTGGTGTAAGTAGATATTTTTTACCATTAGGAACACAGGAGAGAAAGTTAGCTTAGAGAGCTAGAAGATGGAGTTTTAACCACATGGGGCGCGACCTCGCCTGTGAGCAGGTAGACCAACAGCATGGTCTGTTGGTACTATAGAGTCTGTCCCTAGGGGTTTATTCTAGCAGTAGATGGCCCTGACCTGCCCAGAAGCTGGGGATCTAATTCCTTGTGTCTTTTTGGCATAATAAAGTACATTTTTGTGGGGTTGATGGCGAGGATAGAAAACAGATCATAAGCCGGGCTCGGTGGCTCAGCCTGTAATCCCGCGCCTTTGGGAGGCTGAGGTGAGTGGATTGCCTGAGCCCGCAGGCTCGAGACCCGCCTGGGCAGGTGAGACCTCATCTCTACAATAAAATCAAAAAATTAGCCGAGCGTGGTAGCGCGTGCCTGTAGTTCCAGCTACTCGGAAGGCTGAGGCGGAAGGATCGCCGGTGCCCAGCAGATTGAGGCTGCAGTGGCTGGGAGCGGCCACTGCACTCCAGTCTGGGCGACAGAGTGAGACTCCAACTCAAAAAAAAAGAAAACAGACTATAAAGGAGGATGAAGAGTCATTTTCTAAAAGGGAGGAGATTTAGTAGTTAGCATAATGTCATGACAGCAGCGGGAACAAGGGGGTGGTCACCATGTTCTGGGGCTCATGAGTAGAGTGGAGTGGAGCTTTTCATCTTCATTTTGAAATAAAAAATGTGATTAGCTATGTTTTAAACAAATTAGAAGTATTGGAGTAGGCTTATAAAAGATCTGTGAGGTTTATTATGTACTTTATATTACATTCCTTCCCAATCTGTAATAAATTTAAAATAAAACTTAAGCATTATGCAGTCATCAAAAATTATGACTAGTGATGTGGAGACCTCTTTATAAAAACAGGCACTAGAAATACTACCTGTACTGGTGTCATGGGTCTCAAGCGTGGTCCCAGGACAGCGGTATCAGCGTCACCTGGCGCTTGCTCATACCTGGGAAATGCAGAGCTCTAGCAGTGGGCCCAGCCATCTGTATTGTCGTAGGTCTCCCAGGTGCTTCTGCTCCAGGCTGGGAACTCCTGACTAGGCGATCTCAGCCTTGTCCTGCCCCAGCACAACTGAGGATTTGATACACAGATGAAACTCCAGCGCCTCCCTGCTGGAGTGATTTTCCACCCCCACAGGCCTAGGGAAGGTCATTCCTCTCTTGTTAGGAATTACAGGAACAGATAGTGAGATCCAAACAGACAGATTCAGAAATGAACACATATACTGAGTGTGGAAGAGAGATATTACAGACAGTCTCCATCTCTAGGAGGTGGATTATAATCAGGAAAATGTAGTTTTTAAAAAATAGGATTTAGGAGCCATTGACTTCTATACATTGTTAAGATGCACAGACAGCCCAAGGCTGATCATTAATGTGAATTCATTTCCTTTCAGGTGGAGCGAGGAAGCCCTAAGAGCTGCTTCTTATTTTTGGGGTCTGTGCTATGTGAAGTCAATTGGGTTAGTGTGCTCTCCGATGCCTGGAGTCCCAGTCCCCACCCAGAAACCCGCAGCATGATCGTCTGCCTTCTTTTCATGATGATTTTATTGGCAAAGGAAGTTCAACTAGTAGATCAAGCAGTAAGTGCAGAGCATGTGGTGATATGGCCAGGCTCCCTAGACCCTCGCTTTCTGCTAGGCTGGAGTCAGGCTTTTTGTTTGGTTTTTGTTTTGATATGGGATCTCACTCTGTCCCAGGCTGGAGTGCAGTGGCATGATCACAGTGACTTATGACAACCTCTGTCTCCTGGGCTCAGATGATCCTCCTGTCTTAGTTTCCCGAGTTGCTGGACTGTAGGCATGCACCACCATGCCCAGCTAATTTTTTGATTGTTTGTAGAGATGTCTTGCTATATTGCCCAGACTGGTCTCAAACTCCTAGGCTCAAGCAGTCCTCTCGCCTTGGTCTCCCAAAGTGTTGGATTCCAGGCATGAACCACTGTGGGATGGAGTTTTTTAGTCGCTTCCCTGATGCCTCCGTCAGTATGAGGTGTTGGGCATATGAGATTTGCCTTTAACTAGATGCCTGGTTTTCTTAGGTAGCTCATTATCTAATGCTAAATTATGAAGGGAGCCACACTGAGTTGGAATATATTAATCTATTTTATTTTACTTCTCATTAATTCCTGGTTTCATCTCCTGCATGCTTCTTGAAGTCAATTCTAGCCAACAGGGCAGAGAGTTCCTTTGAAAACTGCTCTGAATACTTATAAATCTTCATATGAAGGTATTTTTGCCAAAACTTTGGTTGTTGCTTTCACGAGTACTCCTAACTTCAGGAGATGCTACCTGGACATCTTTAATTGTGCTCATCATAGGCCATCTTAGTGGCTATTCCATAGATGAGCTCAAGACACATATTTCTGGGAAGACGGGGGCTCCGGAACTCAAGGAGTATGTGTTTCATTTTTAGGATTCACCTTTACTGAGTCTCCTTGGACAGATGAGCTCACTCTCATGGCATCTTGTGGATATTGTGTCCTATCAAAGTGTGCTGGGTTATTTCAGCAGTCATTATCCGCCATCCATCATCCTGACCAAGGAGTCTTCTGCTGAATTAATCGTGAAACTCCTCAAAGTATCTGCAGGCCTTTCTGTTCCTACTGACGGCCAGAAGCATCTGGTAAGTTGAGGACTGGTTTAAAGGCAGGGTATGTTTTGGGGGACTGGTAGTGGCATAAGTGCTGCAGAGGACAGTGTTGCACCGGGGTCCGCTAGGCAGAGAACGTTGGAGGGGTATGTCATGGTGGCCTTGTAGAGCTTTTTGTTTGATTTCTCTCTTTTGATAAGTCTTTGTCACATGTTGATGAGAGGCTGAAAGGATTGGTTGCCTGCTGCTTTCATGATCTGAATGTCTTTGGCAGCAGAGTAGCAGTGAGAGTCGTGAATGTGAGTGTGAGTGTGAGGTCCATCATGGCAGGTCCCTCAGCTTCCTCATCTGAGTTGGAAATCATATCTTACCTTGGTGGTCTTGTGAGAGTTGAATTAGATAATGAACATTAAAGTTTTTGGAAATGTTTCTGACAGGTAATTAGTGTTTAATTAATATGGTTATTAATATAGTAAAAAAGGAAGCATGTTCTGTCAGAATTTGACATGGGTCCTAGTAGCAGCTACCACAGATTTGTACATCCCTAGACACAGGGCCCTTGGGCCACCTGGGCTTGGGTCTTCATGTAGCTTCCTGATCTGTCCTCTCTTTATCTAAGCATTTGGGGCAGTACCATGCTCCCAGAGAATACTGTTAACTCTCCTTGCTTGGATTCATTTGAATGCCCCTTTGCTTTGTCAGGATGCCATTCCAAAAAGCCGAGCTTTCACTCATCAGATGGTTCAGTTTCTCAGCACCCTGGAACAAAATGGAAAAATCACCTTAGCAGTCCTAGAACAGGAGATGTCTAAGCTCTTGGATGACATCATTGTTTTTAATCCGCCGGGTAAGTGACAGTGGGAAGTCCTGTGCTCACGTAACCAGGGCCTTCCTGCTCTGTGTATGGTACTGGGAGATCAGGAGGATGGTCAGGGCACTTGTGCTCTTGTTTCTAGAGAAGCAAAGGTCAGAGGGGTGTTAAGATATCAGGGACACTCAGCATGTTTCTGGGGGGTGGGTGTTGATGCTGGCAGATTCTGGTGTGACATGGACTGGGCTGGGGGTTACCTGGGCAACTGGATCTAGGGACGGGATGAGGAGATAACTGGAGACCATCCACTGAGCAGCATTTCCAGAGGTTTTGACTATAAACTGGGAGAGCACATCAGAGTTGCCTATAGCCTTGTAAAGAAACTTTGTATGGAGAACTTTTGCTCCTAGCAGCCTGGTGACTAGATATCCTGGCTGCCCCTCCTGCCAAAAGCAACTGAGAATGCTGGATAAAATGCTTTTAAGAAACTAAGAATTAAACCTATCAATGGAGTGACAAAAAGATACAACAGACTCAGAGGCCAGAACCCAGTTGAAAGGAGGAAGCTGTGAGGTGGATGGAGCGCTGCATGTGGTGCGGGGGGAGTGGGAAGTGGTTTTTACCCTGTGGTTCTTGCTGAACCTTCTTGGCTATTAAGGGAGGCCATGAAGCCCAGAACTGCCTTACTTAGGTACCTGGAAGGAGACCCCACACATAAGCCACAGGACATCTTTACTATAAAGACAAGCTGGAAATAAACCTGCTCCTGTGGGAGTGAAGCAAAGAAGCATCTGCCGTGGCTGTGGTGTTGAGTCAGATGTCTGTGTGGCAGGGAAAGATATCCCTATATTAAATATTGGTAACAAGTGGACCCTTAGGGTTTTGAAGCAAAAATTCATACTACCTAGATTGTTTAAAACAATAACCTCAACCTAAGAATTTAAAGTAGTTCTGTGTTGGCAGTGCCACCACACCTGGCAGGAAGTACCCACAGATCCCGTTTAGAAAAAGCTACCTTCACCCAGGTCCCAAAGTTTGAAGACGCTCATAGTAAAAATAAAACAAAACCAAAACAAAAGTCACAAAACACTCTGGAAAACAAGGTACCACAAGCAAAAGTCAGTAGAGAACAATAGTCCAAGTCAGACATGTAAATATTTAAGATTTTGGAATAATTAGTACAGGAAGCAAAAAAGTTTTAATATATTTTCTGAAATAAGATAGATTTGAAAATATTAGCAAGAAGAGAGGAATTTAGAAATACATTGATTTGAGATAATCATATATTCTAGAATTGAAAAATATAAAGATTGTAATAAAAAGCTTAATAGATATGTTTATCAAAAAATTAAACCCATCTGAAGACAAAATTAATGAACTGGAAAGTAAATATGAAGAAAATATCTCAATTGCAGCACAGAGGGACATAGAAGGAATGTAGATGTGAGGTTAAAGGACATGGAGGAAAAACTGAGAAGGTTTAACATGCCTCCTCTTATCTAATTAAAATTCCAGGAGAGGATATATATAACTGGGAGAAGCAGTATCTGAAGAGATGCAAGACTGAGTTTATCAGGGCTGACATAGACAACAGTCCTCAGATTCCATAAACCCAGCAGGTCCCAAGTGAGATAAATAGAAGGAAACTGACAACCGTATGCACTGGAGGGAACCCGCAGGAATACCAGTGACAAGAGGAAAAGCCTTCACATTGGGAAAGACAGACTACCTACAAAGGAGCAACACTTAGACTGACAGCTGATTCTCAATAGCAGTTATGGATGCTGTAAGACAGTGGAATAGCACCTTCTAGTTACAGTGAGAAAATGAGTCTAGAATTGTAAACTAAGACAAACCATCTTTCAAGGCTGAGGATGAAGTGAAGATACTTTCACTGAACACTGGGAGTGCTTGTCCCAGTAGACAATGCTAAAGCATGTTAGGAAGGAGATTGAATTAAGCATTCTAAGGTTCTATATTTTTTGAAAGGGTAGAGAGATTCTCCTATTGGGAATATAACCAGAAAGGAACTCAAATCATTTTACAAAAAAGATACCTGCACACGTTTGTTTGTTGCAGCTCTATTCACAAGAGCAAAAACATGGAACCAACCATGTTGCCCATTGAAGCTGGACTGGATTAAAAAAATGTGGTACATATACGCAATGGAATATGATGCAGCCATAAAGAAGGACAAACATGGACTTCACAGCAACTTGGATGAATCTGGAGTTGGTCATACTCAGTGATTTATCACAGAAACAAAGAGCAGAGTACCATATATTCTCACTCATAAGCAGACCTTGAACAATTAAATACTGTAAGAAAGGCACTGGCAGTAGTGGGAAACTGTCAGGGAAGGGGGAGTTTGGTTGGCAGTAGATGGAAACTGCTAGGGGAGGGAGAGGCATGCCTCATCAACAAGGGTAACTGCATAATCAACGTTTGTATACCTAACCCTGAATTGTACCCCACATCTTTATAATAAAAAAGTGAAAAAAAAAGATAAAGTTTGAAGATTAAAAATTTTAGGCTGAGTGCGGTGTCTAAGCCTGTAACCCCAGCCCTTTGGGATACCAACGTGAGAGGATTGCCTGAGCCTGGGGGTTTGAGATCAGCCTGAGCAACTTGGTGAGACTCGTTTCTACAGTAAATCACAAAAACTAGCTGGGGATGGTGGTATGCATCTGCAGTTTCAGCTACTTGGAAGGCTGAGGTGGAAATATTGCCTAAGCCCCGCAGGTTCAGGCTGCGGTGGCCACGAGTGTGCCACTGCACTCTAGCTTGGGTGACAAGAGTGAGAATCCAACTCAAAAAACAAAAATTGTTAAAGGCCAGGTATGTGTAATCCCAGCACTTTGAGAGGTCGAGGTGGGAGGATTACTTGAATCCAGGAATTTGAGACCAGCCTGAGCAACACAATGAGATCCCATCTCTACCAAAAATTAAAAAAAAAATTAGCCAGGCTTGGTGGTGCATACCTGTAGTCCTAGCTACTCGGGAGGCTGAAATGGAAGGATTGCCTGAGCCCAGGAGGTCAAGGCTGCGGTGAACTGTGATCATGCCACATCACTCCAGTCTGGATGACAGAGTGAGATCCTGACTCAAAAAAAAAAAAAAAGGCTGAGTATGGTCATGCCTGTAACCCCATCACTTTGGGAGGCTAAGGTGGAAAGATCACATGAGGCCAGGAGTTTGAAACCAGCCTGGACAACATTGTCAGAACCTATCTCTACAAAACAATAACGAAAAATTAGCCAGGCATAGTGACACTCTTCTGTAGAGGTGGGACTGGGGGACTATAGATGGGAAGCTGAGGCGGGAAGATCACTGGAGCCCAAGAGTTCAAGACTGCCATGAGCTATGATCACATCACTGCACTTCAACCTAGGTGACACAGAGCCCCCGTCTCTTTTAAAAAAAAAATTAACTGGGCTCGGTGGCTCAACCTGTAATCCCGCGCTTTGGGAGGCTTAGGTGAGTGGATTGTCTGAGCCTGCAGGTTTGAGACCCACCTGGGCAACTTGACGAGACCTCATCTCTACAATAAATCAAAAAATTAGCTGGGCATGGTAGCGCACACCTGTAGTTCTAACTACTTGGAAGGCTGAGGCAGAAGGATCGCCAGAGCCCAGCAGGTTGAGGCTGTGGTGGCCAGGAGCGTGCCACTGCACTCCAGTCTGGGCAACAGAGTGAGACTCCACTCAAAAAAAAAAAAAATTTTAAGACACTAACCAAAAGAAAAAGAAAGAAAATGTACAATTTCCAAGGAGTTAGTAGAGGAAGATAAAAAAGAACGGCCAAGATATGTCCAATCCAAAGAAGGCAAAAGAAGCATGGAGAAGGTAAGATGGCCAGATTCAAATGCATCAGTAAATGTGGATAGACTGGTGCTCAATTTGAAGGACAAAGCTTGTCAGACCAATAGCATCTAGCTTTATGCCATTGATAGAAGCACATCTGAAGCCTAAGCCTGTAGAGAACTTTCCAGAAGGTGCTCAGATGGCAGGTATTAGACAGAAAGCTGCCATCGCTTATTGATATTAGACCAGTAGAACTGCCAGGCAGAAGCATCACAAGAGCCAATGATCTCTAGGTGTTTTTATGCCTTAAAGTTGCAGGATAAAACATAATTAAACAGAAAAGAAGCATTAGTAGAGATAAAGAGTAAATTTGAAACTTTTTATCTCTACTAATGCTTCTTTTCTGTTTAATTATGTTTTAGATTTATTCACCAGCAAGATATAGAATAATTACCAACCTATTTGTACCTAATAACGCAATAGAAATGCAAATGCAGAAAGTGAAAATCCATAGATCTAGGAAGAGAAATGTCAAGTTCATTCACAGATTTTAAATGCACATCTCACAGTAATTGAGACATGATTGATTGATTAAGTAGACAAAAAATAGGTAGTAACTGATATGTCAGACAGACAGAAAATCAGTAAGGCTGTGAGAAGTTTGACTAGCACAGTTCAGTATCATGGCTACGTGGAGAGTGCTGTGCCCTCTGAATGCAGAACACACACCATGTCAATCACATTTGGGACATTTAAGAAATTTGACTCCATAGTAGGTTTAAGGCAAGTCTCAACCAATCTCAAAGAAATGACCACAGTGCAATGAACTTTATAAATCAGTAACGAGGGCAACCCCCTCAGGTCCCCTTCTGCTCTGGGAGCTTTTCTATCCTCTCAATAAATAAAGAAATAAATAAAAAAGAAAGAAACTAGTAACAAAACATAACTGGGGGAAAAACTATTGTGTTTGAAGTTAAGAAGCAAACTTAAATAACATGGGCAAAAGGATAATCATAATAGAAACAAATTATAACTGAATAATAAAATAGAGTACATCAAAGTCTGTGACATGCAGCCAAAGTAGGACTTACTTTCATGGCCTTGAATGCTTATATTAGAATTTTTTAAAAAGTGAAAAAAATTTTTAATTAATTTATTTATTATAAAGATGTAGGGTACAATTCAGGGTTAGGTATACAAACATTGATCATGCAGGTACCCTTGTTGATGAGGTATATCCCTCCCTCCCCTAGCAGTTTCCCTCAGCTGCCAGTCCCACACCCCTCTTCCCCTGATAGTTTTCCACTACTGACAGTTCCTTTCTTATAGCATTATAATTGTTCAAGGTCACCTTATGAGTGAGAACATACGGAATTCAATTCTTTGTTTCTGTGATAAATCACTGAGTATGATCGACTCCAAATCCATCCAATTTGCTGCAAAGTCCATATATTTGTCCTTCTTTATGGCTGCATAATATTCCATTGTGTATATGTACCACATTTTAAAAATCCAGTCCAGCTTCAATGGGCAACACTGCTGGTACCATGTTTTTGCTCTTGTGAATAGAGCTGCAACAAACATACGTGTGCAGGTATCTTTTTTGGAGAATGATTTGAGTTCCTCTGGGTATATTCCCAGTAGGGAAATTGCTGGGTCATATGGAAGGTCAATTTCTAGTTCTTTCAGAAATCGCCACACAGTCTTCCAAAGAGGTTATACTAGATTGCATTCCCACCAGCAGTGTAGAAGTGTTCCTTTTTTCCACATCCTTGCCAGCATCTGTTGTTTGTTTTATTAATGATGGCCATTCTTACAGGGGTTAGGTGGTATGTCAGTGTGGTTTTGATTTGCATTTGTCTGATGATGAGTGAGGCTGAGCACTTTTTCCTGTGTCTGTTGGCTGCCTGTATATCTTCTTTTGAGAAGTGTCTATTCATGTCCTCTGCCCACTTTTTAAAGGGGGTGTTTGTTTTTTTCCTTTCAGCACGTTTGAGTTCCTTGTAGATCCTAGATGTTAGACCTTTGTCAGATATGTAGTTGGCAAATATTTTTTCCCATTCTGTGGGCTGTCTCCCTACTCTCTTGATGGTTTCTTTGGCTTTGCAGAAGCTTGTCAGTTTAATGAGGTCCCACTTGTTTATCTTACCTCTTATGGCCTGGGCACTTTGGATTTTGATCAGGAATCGGTTGCCAGTTCCAACTTCCATAAGAGTGTCTCCTGCATTTTTTAAGGTTCTTACAGTTTGAAATTTTATGTTTAGGTCTTTGATCCATTTAGAGCGAATTTTTGTGTAAAAAGTGAAAATTAATAAGATAAAGCCAGGTGTTTGTAGTCTCAGCTACTCAGGAGTCTGAAGTGGGAGGATGGTTTGAGCCCAGGAGTTCGAATTCAACCTGGATAACGTAGTGAGACTCTGTGTCTAAAAATAAATAAATAAGAATGTAACTTAAGAGGTTATTCTAACAGACAACAAAATAACAACCAAATACTGTAGAAGGAAGGAAATAATAGAAGATAAACAGGAAGGAACAGAGTGAATAGCAATGGAACTGCTCATGAGTGGGGAAATAAGATCTAAATGAAATCTGACTGTATGAATTATAGTCATGGTATCGATGTCTCACTGGCTCATAGCAGTGGCAGGGAAGGGGAAGGAGTTAGAATGTCCCAAAGTCTTTGCATCGTTGGGGAATCAGTTAACTTCTGACCTTGACCAGTCAGGGTACATGCTGTCCTGTGCAGGGTAACCCCTCTTGGAGTGCCAAGAGTGTTGACTTCCAAACTAGAAGGGGGAAAGTGGGATAATTCATTGTCCAAGAGAAGCAGCTCACAGAGAGAAGCAGGAGTGTAGACTAGGAAGGGCAGACAGGATGCTGCTGGCAGGATGGTCGAGTGAGACCCAGCTGCATCAGTGACTATCAGATGTGAAAATGAAGATTGGCACAATGGGTAAGACAAGGGAAAAAGACGACTCAGTAGGAAGGAAATGGACAAGACCCTTGCAACAACATTCTATAAGAGAAAAATCTCTAATTGACTAACAAACCTATGAAAAAGTCCCAGACCTTGTTAATCATCCTTCCTCTTTCATGTAGATATGTCAAGTGTGGAGTGAGAGAACAGGTACAGTTTTAGCACCGGCCTGGCAGGTCAGCAGCATCAGTGAATGTTCAAGAGAGAAAGGTTAGTCATCAGGCAGTGCTGGAGAAAGTTGCCGCATTGGTCCTGTGTGATTGGAACAGAAGGTGGGATAATTGCCGACCAGGGAAAGGGGAGAAGGTGTTCTAGAGAGATCTTACTCAGAAGAGTGATGGGATCAGATCCGGCTTTTAGAAAAACGTATTGGCCCTGTTGATGAGGAACAGGAAGGGGAGAGGCTGGAGTTGACTGGGAGGCTCACAGCAGCAGTTTTTATGAGTCATAATTAAAAGGTAAATTAAAGTTGAAATTGCTTTTCAGTTGGAATTCTGAGATAAGATCTCTATTACTGAGAGTATTTGTACACACAAAAAATAAATGTTCACACAACATACACTGCCACTGTCTCTCTCCAACCTTTTTTTTTTTTTGAGTTGGAGTCTCACTCTGTCACCCAGACTGGAGTGCAGTGGCCGCTCCCGGCCACCGCAGCCTCAACCTGCTGGGCTCCGGTGATCCTTCCACCTCAGCCTTCTGAGTAGCCGGAATTACAGGCGCACGCTATCACGCCTTTATTTATTGTAGAGATGAGGTCTCACCAAGTTGCCCAGGTGGGTCTTGAACCCACAGGCTCAGGCAATCTACTCACCTCAGTCTCCCAAGGTGCGGGATTACAGGCTGAGCCACTGAGCCTGACCTCTTTTCAACCTTTTAAAAGCCTTGCTTGGTAATAAGTAGGTCACTCAGTTACAGTGACACTGAGTGAGGGTTTCTTTAATCCCCCAAAAGTGTGTGGATTTGTCTTGATGGGTGTGGTGGGTAAGATCTCTGATTCTCATTGACATAAGTACTAAATCCTGTGGTATGAAAGCCACAGTTCTGTTCCATGAAAAGAAAGTTCTCAACAGGAGGAGAGTGAGTGTAGTTGGCAAAGTGGTACCTGCCATCTCTAAGAGGAATCTATGTCTGTCTCTGAGTGTAAAGAGGGGTCTACCTCAATGGACTGCTCCTGCATATCTGCATGTCCATCATCAAACAAGTTCATCCTTTTTCCTTTGTTCTATGGTCTTGACTTCCAGGTTTTTTTGAAGGACTCATTTCTGTTACCAGTCCATCCACTTTTGTTATTTAAAAACAAAGAAATAAAAGAACTGCTGTTGGGAACCTTTGAAAAGGGTTTTCCTTCCATTTATGTTTAGTTTTACATTCTGACTTCCATCGTGTGTAAGTGACTTTAGAATATTGACAGTGGTAGGCAGGGGTGGGATGCTCATGTTGCTGTTTAATGACTGCTGAGACCTGCTTTGGGTCTTCCATGAGCAAAGGCTAGAAGATGAAAATGAGCTAGGTGTTCTGAAAAGTATGTTACTCTCACACCAGTCTGATACATTCTGTTTACTGAGGTGTTACTCTGTCACACTGCTGTGCCCAGGGGCTCACGGGAGTTCCTGCTTTTGCTCTCACAAAGCATGTGCCGCCTCCTGTCCATAAAAGCTGAACATGTCTGCAGCCTTCTTCTGGCGCTGCAGTCAGGCAGCTGCTAGACCTGTATAAATTGCCTGCGCAGCTAAGATCAAGCACCATTGGTACTCTTGAGCATATCCAGGGCATTCTGGCAGCCTCCTCAGTGTTTGTCTGTGTCCTCCCAGACATGGACAGCCAGGCCCGCCACATGGCCCTCAGCAGCCTGTTCATGGAGGTCCTCATGATGATGAACACCGCGACCCTCCCGACGGCAGAGTTCCTCCGGGGCAGCGTCCGGGCCTGGATTGGCCAGAACGTGCATGGGCTGGCGGTTTTGCCGCTCCTGACCGCTGCCTGCCAGAGCCTGGCATCCGTCCGTCACATGGCTGAGACCACAGAAGCCTGCATCGCCGCCTACTTCAGAGAAGGTCAGGGTGCTGTCTCCTGCTCGTCTTGTGTTGGCTTTTCCAGGAAAGATGGGAGAATCCAGAAAGACTTCCCAGTGAGGGCTCCTGTGTTCTGATTTTCTGTTCTGTCAGTGCTGCAGGTGTTTTGGGACAGACAGGTGCTGTGCAGCAAAGTCTACAGTGAGTGTGAGGGCCACTGACTGTGTCTGCTGGTACAGCCCATGTCTCCAGGGAGACAGGCTGTGACTCATTTGATGTTGGTCTTGGGGTGTCACACCAAGCCATTCTGATAGGCAGATTGTGTTATGAGGCCCAGCACCATCCTCAGCAAGCATCTGTGTAATCAAGATCCACTAGGGTCATTTTCACTATTTTTGTCACTTTTGGTGAAAAGAGTTTTCAAAGAAGTTTTTACAGTTGCTTCTTTTTACACCTTTTAAGCTATTATGAAGGGGTTACTCACTCCCACTCACTCCTCCCCTCCTTCTGAAATTTTTTCTACCTTCTACCTCTATACTTTAGGGCTATGGAGACAGTCTAGACTGATTAATGCTTGCTCAGAACAGCACTTCTCAGCTGTGATATGTGGGCACATACTGTGTTGCAGACAGTGGGAGGGAAGACGGGCATGTGATGGGGTCTGGAAGCTCCCATGCCTACCACCTGTCCCAGCCTGACCTGTGAGCAGCCCATGGAGGTGCTGGTCACCACCACCCCACCCTCACTCCCCCACCAAATATGGAGAACTATTAGGGCAGCAAATCCACTTGGGTTACTAAAAATCAAATGGTTTCTCTTGAGAGTGGTAGGTAGGGGTGGGATGCTCATGTTGCTGTTTAATGACTTTTCAGAGGTGAGTCAAACTAAGCTTGGATACATAAAAATATAATGGATCGAATGGTGACAGTTTCCCTTGAGAAACATGTTCATGCATACTTAGAGATGGTCTTAAAGTTGAAACTGGCCGGGACAGACCATGTCTCCATGCGCCCTTCATAGTCATAATGTGATGAGAAAGGTGACATATAAATATGCAGCCTTAAGTGCTGACTCCTAACCCTCTGCAGTGGCTAGCCTGGGGCAGGCCTTGCATAGGGCCATTCCAGGCTGAGCCCCAGGTACGTTTCACTTCTGGGGCCTCTAGGGCCAGGTTAGAAGTATCCTGAAGAGAGTCATCAGGGCTGCTAAGCACTTGCCTCTTGCTTATGTCTCGGTGTCCCTTCTCTATGTTCTTTCCCTAGGCTCCCTCAATCAGAACCCTGGGTGGGGTCCCATCCTGCTATCCCTGCAGGTGCCCGAGCTCACTGTGGAGGAGTTCCTGCAGGAATGCCTGGCCCTGGGCAGTTACCTGACCCTGTACGTGTACCTGCTGCAGCGCCTGAACAGTGAGCAGACTCTACGAAATGAGATGAGGATGCTGCTGCTTCTGAGCCAGTGGCTGGAGCAGGTGTATCCCAGGTATATGACCCCTGGCTGTCCGGCAGCTCACCATGTTGGTCTCACTTGGAATTGTGGGTTTGAGTCCATGTCCAAGTTCACAGAACCAAGTGGTGCACCAAAAGCAAGGCTCAAGACAAAGTGACACTGTTTTGGAGAGAAACTTAATTTCATGGGCTAATTTTTTTTTTGAACAGGTTTTTGTTTCCTAAAACTGGCATTTTGAAACCCTAAGCTTCAGCTTCCTCACTGGTCTAGTAGAGGTAATAATCTCTGTCTCACAGGGCTGTCATGGATTAAGGGAACATTTGCCCTGCTTGGGGGCATGCAGCCATGTTCACCACAGGCAGTTTCTGCAGTCCCGTGACTCCACTGTTTAACAGCCTTTCACGTTCCCAGTGTCTCTTTCAAGCTCATGTGTGGACTTCCGTTAAGCAGGAATGGGAAAATCCACTTCTAACTGGCTTTTTCTCTGGTGCTGTCCCCAGCTCCACGGAGGAAGAGGCAAAGCTGTTTCTGTGGTGGCACCAAGTCCTGCGGCTGTCCCTGGTTCAGACAGAGCAGAATGACTCGGTACTGACAGAGTCCATCATCCGAGTCCTGCTCATGCTTCAGAGCAGGCAGAGCCTCCTGGCTGAGGAGAGGCTCAGCTCTGGGCTCCTGGGGGCAATTGGGCTGGGCCGGAAGTCACCCTTGTCCAACAGGTAAGGAGGGCCCTGCTGCCACACTCCCCTATAGGCCTTAGACTCCACACTGCTTACAGACTATGGGACTTAGAAAGGCTTTAAGTTAGGATCCAGGATTTCTAGAGAGTCATGAAAATAAACGAGTCTCATCTTGACATTCTAAAGCACATGTTTATTTTTTCTTACCTTCAAAAAGTCTTTATTTTTAAATTCAAACAGTGTGTTTTTAGTAGGATCTCTTGCTGTGTTTTAACTTCACAACCTGACTGCACTGTGGGTTTCCTTTTGGTTTTGAGCCAGTGATGAATGGAGTGCCAGGTTAGTTAAAAGGCCCAGCCAGCTGCTTCCTGTGAGCACTGGAGTTGGGAGGGACCTGGTCTAGTGGCCATCGCGTCATCGAGATGGGTTAAGGTCCGATGAGAAGGATAAGGACTGTGCAGCAAGTCTGGATTTTTGTTGCTAGAAATTCCAAGGTGTGAAAGCTTTTGCTGTCGCTCCCCATTTTACCTCATGCCTGCATCCAGGCTGTCTTGCCATGCCCTCACCATTGCTGAAGGGAGTGTGCATCACATACTGAACATGCCTTCTGTTGACCAGTCCATCGCGGAGTGACTTTGGGAGCCACCCATTCCACACCCGCCAGTATTATGTGTCTTTGTGGTAGAAGGCAGCAGGACAGTGTGATTTTGTTTTACTTCCATTCTGCTGGTGTGTTTTGCTTGAGTTGGGTGCTTTTATTATTTATTTTTTTTGAGGTTGTGGTAAAACAGGCAATGCATCACTCTCCAAGGTGACTGTTTCGATATGTACAATTCAGTGCCCTTAAGCGCATTCACGTCACTGCTTTAGCCATCACCACAGTCTAGTTTCAGAACATTCTCATCACCCAAAAGAAGCCCCACACCCATTAAGCAGTCACCCCATTCCCTTCAACCCCCAAGTTTCTGGCAACCACTGACTGACATTGTGACTTGACAGGTTAAGTCCTATATTGGATACTTGAGATAAATGGAGCCACACTGTGTGTGGTCTCTGGGGCTGACCTCTCACTTAGCATGAGGTTTTTGAGGGTCACCTGTGTCATAGCATGCATCAGTATCTCACTCCTTCTTATGGCTGAGGAATATTCCGCTGTCCACCATGTGTTGTCTATCCCTTTGTTAGCTGACAAAGGAATTGTTTCAACCTTCTGGCTATTGTGGAGAATGCTGCTGTGAATATTTGTTTCCAGGGTATTGCCAGAATGTCTGTGTTTTGAGTTTACACCGGGAGTGAACTGGCTGGGTCACATGGAGCTCCATGTTTCACTATTGAGGAACTGCCCAGCTGGCTTCCAGGCACCTGCCCCAATCATGCCCCCCAGCAGTGTATGAGGCCTGGGTAGCCTATCCTTACCTCGTTCTGGGATCTGAGTTGTATGTGTGTTGCTTAGGGGGCAATAATGGAAGGGAGGATTAAAGCTCCTTGATTATATTGAAGATTTTCCTGAAGAGGCTGACAACATAGTAGATCCGGAAATGTGTTTATCTTGCCTTTTTTTTTTTTTTTTGAGTCGGAGTCTCACTCTGTTGTCCAGGCTGGAGTATAGTGGCACAACCATGGCTTACTGCAGTGTTGACCCCTAGGCTCAGGTGATCCTCCTTCCTCAGCTTCCTGAGTACCTGGGACATGCTTAGCTAATTTTTTAACTTTTTTAGAGACAGGGTCTTGCTATGTTACCCAGGCTGGTCTCAAACTCTTGGGCTCAGGCACTTTGGCCTTCCAAAATGCTGGGATTCCAGGCATGAGCCACCTTTTTTAACAGAAAAGTCTTGCTTTTTTAACTGAAGATGTGCTCATTTGTAAACACCTATTTTAATAGTCATGTTCTTCTGACTGCTGTCTCACGTCCAAGGTTCCGAGTGGTTGCCCGAGGCATGGCTGCCTTCCTTTCAGTTCAGGTGCCTGCTGAAGACCAGATCCGGTTGAAGCCTGGTTCTGAATTACAGCTAACCCCAAAAGCTCAGCAGGTCAGTACTGGTAGCAAAGGGTTAAGCATTTCCAGAAGTGCTCAGTGGCAGCTCCGGCCTGGATATGCTGAGACATGATGCTCTGAGCAGCACAGCTACCCTGCGTGTCTTGCTCTCTGGGAAGTGTGCCCACCTTACCTTTTAACACCCTGGAGTGGACCCATGCCTAGAGCAGTGTGACTGTCATTGTGGAGGTAAAGCCACAGGCAGGCCGGGTCAGGATCAAATTCAGTTGTGATGAGTGTGACATGTCCTTACCTGGACCTTGGGATGGATGGAACTTGGCCAAGAAGGATATGGGCTCGGGACTGACTCTTGTCTCATGAGTTGAAGGCTGACCATTCCCGCTGATGCTGCAGTAGCCTGTCAGGGACAGGATGTTAGCTGTAAGAAGCTAGTTCCTTCTAAAAACATGGTCCCATTCCTATAAACTGGGAGCAGCTAGGGCTGGGTGCACAGGTGTGCAGAGCGAAATGAGGGCAACTTTCTTGAGTGCCCCCGAAATGCGGGTGCAGTTCTAAGGTCTAACTCACTTGATATTAATGAACTGAAGCTTTCACTCATTTAATCCTCAGCACAGGAACTGCAGTTACCCTGGTTTTGTGGATGAGGAAACAGAGACTGAGAGAGTAGTCAAGTAGTCTGTCCCAAATCACAGCGTCCACTAGCAGCATGTAGCACCTGGTTCCTGTGGACTTTCATCAGCTAGTGAGCACTGGGGCTGGGGTTTTTCCCAGCTAGCTGGCTCCAGGCTCTCCCATTCCCCGCCCCTGTGGGGCCATCTCTGTAAGGGGTCAGTGCTTCAACCTCTTAGCTCCTGGTCTGGTGCAGTTTTGTCACGTTTTGCCAGCCATAGGCAGGGTGAGACCTTGGTTATTAAGAGCAAGTATCAGGCAAAACAACTGGCAGTGTCTTCCCAGGGATCTTGGCTTGTAAGATGCCTGTCACTCATCATTTGCTAACTGGACAGCTATTGTCTGAGTCCCCATGTCTTCCATGGATCATCAGGTGGGCAGGCAGGTCTTCCAAGGGCTGGTGCAAGAGCGCAGGGTACAGTTGAGTGTCTTGCTTTCCTGTGGACTACCTAGGGTCCTGGGCCACCCAGGCCTGCCTTCCCTAGCTGCATTCTTAGACTTCATGTGATACCTCCTTGAGTGTCCTGTGTGTGCTGGTCATCAGAATTTTCAGACTTGAAAGAAGACATCTTTATAGAAAATGATTAAGGCATACTGTCCAAGTAGGCCATCTAGGGGCTATATTTAAACAAAGAAATGGAGGGCAGAGAGACAGGGACACGAATTCATGGGGTGCCTGTTCCCTGGAGCCCTGACTGAGCTTGAGCTCTGTTCACATAGCTCTTCACTTGGTACCAAAGTTCTTGTTGTGTTCCTACTAACCCTGAGGCTTCTCTACAGCTGCTGGTCATTTACCTCTAAGCCTCTAGTTCAGTCACCATCCTCAGAAAGACCTTCTGCTCCTGTTTTCTGAAGCAAGTAAACTTCACCTCACTTGTGTTCTCTAGTACAGCAGTCCCGATAGATGGAGCAGGGAGTATTAGGGGCTCCATGGCTGTGTGTGCCCAGTAAGAGGGACATGGGGAGGACCCAGGGTAGGTCTTCCCCAGTTGGAAAACAAAACTCTCATTCCAAGAGCCACGTTCTGATGTTTTGTTTTCTCCACCTACAGTTTCTTCCCTTTCCCTTCTCCTAGGAAGAAAGGAAGCATTAATTAACATCATGGAGTCAGGGCGTTTTCTTTCTTGTACTGGAGAGAGGCATGGGGACCTTCTCCCACTACTCTGTGCTATGTGTGGGATGCATTGGCAGAGCCCTTGTTCTTCTGCTTGTTGATCGATGTGGCAGCCTTCTCGCCTGCCCTCAATGTCTTAGCCCTGGGTTTCATAGAATTCTGTAGAATTCCATTGCATAGATAGTTTAACATGCTATTTTGTAGGCTAGGAATAAACCCAACTGCAGATTAAACAGCTTCCCTGTGTGAAATACATTAAACGTAACCCAACGTGTTAAACGGCTTCCTTGTGTGACTTGCATGGGCTCTAGGAAGAGAGAGCAGGGGCTGGTGGGGAGGACCTGCAGGGGAGTAGGGAGGATGAGGATGAGGCCAGGGACATGGCTGCAGCAAGACCAGCATGCATAGCAGTGGCACTTGGCAAGGAAGGGCTGGGAAGTGGCCCAGGGCGGGAAGGCGGGTGCTGTCAAGGCCAGGGTGGGCCTATGGCCCCCATGGTGGGGAATCATGGGAATCATCGCCTGCCTCCGACTCCTCACCCCAGACATGGGCTTCTTCCCTGTGAGGTGTAGCTCAGTTGTGGTGATGGTGGCATCCGCGCAGTCCTCATGCCTGCCTGTGCAGCTGACACTCTCATCTCCATGTTTCCTAGGCCCTGACTGTCCTGGAGTCCATGGCCTTGAGCAAGCAGTACATGGAATTCCAGGAGCAGTTGTCTCAGGCCTGCCAGTTTATAAAGCACCCCGGCCATTGCCTCCAAGATGGGAATAGCTTCCTGGCTCTGCTCGTCAACTGCCTCTACCCGGAAGTGCATTATCTGGACAACATACGGTAGCAGCCTGAGCTCTGGAGGACGCTTGCTGATGATGTTTACATGTCACTTTGCTGTTGCACGAGTGGCTTTGCTCAGTTTCACTGCAAAGTTCAGCTCAGCCAATGCGTAGTTGACTGAGATGCAAGTTGGAGGCATTAATGAGTTCTGGGGCGAGAGAGAGAGAGAGAGAGAGAGAGTGTTTCCTTAGCTCTTAAAACTTTTTGAGGACTTTTTAAGCGTTGTTCATCCATGAGAGAAACTTCCTCAGCCCCACATGTATGCCAGCCAATCACAGTTGCCATGTCAAGTGTCCTGAGTGTCCCTATCTCTCATGGCCTTCTGTGTGTACCCAGACTCTCTTCCATATTGTATTTAAATGTTAAACATCCCAAGACAGATCTGGTAGCTTTGGGGTCACATGGAGCCCTTGCTTTTGATCCCTGTTTGTGTCCTCCAGCGTCAAAAAATCAGCCTGGCCAGTTGCTGCATTCTCAGATGTGGGGAAACACCAGCTTTGAAGTGTCACTCTCTCTGGAGGGAGCTGAGACTCTGGGTTCATTAGAGTGAATCACATGTGGAATAGGGTCACTTGATCCTGATTCTAGTGGGTGGCAAAAGTGGTGACCATCCACGTCCACCTGTCGGATTGGGCTGCAGGTGGTGAGGAGGGGTGCACTCTTCAGGCATCTTGTTGCTCCCCGTGGCTGAGTGCAGTTGGGCAGCACCTGTCACCAGTGGGCTCCACCCAGCCTCCTCACAGCACCTCGTCCCATCGACACCCAGGTCTGCTCCCTTCCATGGACATCATGTCTGACATCTGACAGCTCCACCATTGAGAGGGAGGCTCAGGGAACGGAAGCTGAGTCTCTGTCCCCTGCTTGTTCTCCCGTGTTTAAACTCTAATGCGGCTTGTGGACCTGCTGAATGCTTGTCTGTGGAAATGGGGTTGGGTTGGGAGACGCCTGAGATTGGCTTCTTCATACCATGTGCCTTCTGTGGACAGTTGCCTTGCTCTGTGCCCGCACTGGCTCCTGTTCCCCAGGGAGAGCTGTTAGACTCTCGTTGTGCTTGATTCTTGTCAGCTCTAAGGTCCTGTGCCTGTGCAGCCTGCCTGATGTGTTTTTGTTTATGGATTGTCTGTAGCTCAAGCACACCTGTCTGAGAGTCTGAACAGCCCCGGAGAGCTTTCAGGAGGGAGGGGATGGTGAACAGAGGGCTGTCTTCTCCCAGATGTCCTTGGGAATTCCCAACACCGAGATGTCTGCATGAGCTTTCCTTCCTCTCTACCTTTTAGGGGACTGTACAGTTTGCCTCTCAGACAGGCTTTGGCACCCGAGGAGGGACACCAGTCAGCCCCTGAGCTCCCTGGTTGCCCAGGAAGGGACACCCATCAACCCCTGAGCTTCCCAGACACCTGAGAAGGGACACCAATCAGCCCCTGAGCTCCCTGGGTACCTGAGGAGGGACACCCATCAGCCTCTGAGCTCCCAGGGCACCCGAGGAGGGACACCCATCAGCCTTTGAGCTCCCAGGGCACCTGAGGAGGGACACTCATCACTCCAAGCTCCCTGGGGTGCCTGAGGAGAGGGACACCTGTCAGCCCCTGAACTCCCTAGACACCCAAGGAGGGACACTTGTCAGCCCTTGAGCTCCCAGGGTACCTGAGGAGGGACACTCATCACTCCAAGCTCCCTGGGGTGCCTGAGGAGAGGAACACCTGTCAGCCCCTGAACTCCCTAGATACCCAAGAAGGGACACTCGTCAGCCCTTGAGCTCTCAGGGCACCTGAGGAGGGACACACATCAGCCTCTGAGCTCCAGGATGCCTGAGGGACACCTGTCACCCTGAGCTCCCTGGGCACCTGAGGAGGGAAACCCATCAGCCCCTGAGTTCCCAGGGCACCGGAGGAGGGACACCTGTCAGCCTCTGAGCTCCCGGGCCCTGAGGTGTCATCTTGAGGGCCCTGTCTCAGCTCTCCTTGCTTCTGCTTTTCTCCACTTGCAAAGTCACTCGTGTTCTGTGTGTAAGAACATTTTGTGTGGACAGTTTAACTGGCTGATTTCATGACAGAAAATATTCTTTGTGCTGTTTGAGGAGGATATGGTTATCAATATCCTAGAATGTGAAATTTCTGACTGATAGTATGTACATTTTAAAGAAAATTATGATTAGTGTGTTAATTTGTGAAAGTTTGTAGTTATATATGGTCTGTAAAAATTATAAAAGATAAAACCAATCTTTAGTTGTGTCTGATAAGAATCCAGATTGTAGGGATGTCACTGTCATATAAAGCACTCCAGTTGTTTCAGTGGCTGCAGATTTGCATGCCTGACGCAGTCGAGTCTGCTAGACATTGTGACTTGATTTTCAGCTTGGTCGGCGCAAGTGCTCGCTCCTTAACTCCATGCTTCTCATCGGAAGGTTGACTCACCTTGTAGGTTCCTGAGAAAATGGATAAGAAAGTGCTCTGAAGACACAGAGGGGGCTCATGCCTGTCATCCCTGCATGTTGAGAGGCCAAGTTGGGAGGATCACTTGACCCCAGAAGTTCAAGACTAGCCTGGGAAACAGAGCGAGCTACAAAAAAAATCCAAAAAGTATCTGAATGTGGTAGTGTGTGCCTGTAGCACCAGCTACTTGGGAGCTGGGGTGCCAGGATCGCCTGAGCCCAGGAGGTTGAAGCTGCAGTGAGCTGCAATCATGCCACTGCACTCCAGCCTGGGTGACAGAGTGAGATTCTGGCTCAAAACACACACACACGCGCGCGCACACACACATACACACACACACACACACACACTGTGATGGTTCAGAGCACAGCAGCACTGCCATAGTCCTGGGGTGATGGCCTTCACTTGGAAGAATGGCCAGCCTCCCGAGAGTGCGGGGCAGCCAGAGACAGTGGTGGTGCTGCCCGTCAGTACTGGGACTGAGAAGACCAAGGCCGTCCCTGTGCGCAGAGCAGTGCGGAGGGTGAGCTCTGCAGACTCCGGACATCCCCAGTGTAGTTGGGTTCAGACAAGATGTCCAGAGGCTCCCTGGGAGCGGGCAGCAGCATCTGGTCATCACAGGAAGCGTCTTTGCCTCTCCATGACTCACCCTGTGGTACACAAGCAGGGGGAGTGTATCCCCTTGCCATGCCCCCCACCAACAAAAATCACGGGACATCCAGGGAGGGAGGTCCTGCCCGTATCTGCGCAGCGTGACTGCAGTGCTAGGGCCAGAACCCACTGGACCTGCTTTCCGAGCTCCTACCTGCCAGGCCTTCAGCTGCAAGGTGTGACCGTTTTGCCAGCCGAGCGTTGGTTCAACCACCGAATGCCCCTGCCCCGGGTCTGGGGTTGAGGAAGCCTCGTCCATAGATGAAATCCACAGACCAGCCAAGTGACAGTCTCCTTGTCCTCCTGATGAGTTACCATGCTCAGTGTGTCCAGTTGCTCAGGTGAAGAGCCCTGGCCCCCTTCCTCAGCAGGAAAGGCACTGCATGGTTTTTCACTGGGGTTTTATTCCTTGGATTCATCCTTCTGGGAGCAGGAAGCAAATGTCCTGAAATCATGCACTTCAAGTCGGAAGGGTCTGGCTCCACCTCTCACCCAGCAAGGTCCCTCCGGCCTCTCCTGTGGACTGTCCATTGTCGCTGATCCAGCCCCATGAGTCACCCAAGTGCCGTTGGCAGGCTCTGCTTCTCATCTTGTCTTACATCCAGCTGAAGTGACTCCTGAGAATGCTGCCCCTTGGAACAGACCTTTAGATGTCATCAGTTTTCATCGCATCTCACACCACCTGCCCCTGCCCTCAGCCTTCCCTGGGTTATGCTCCTGTGTAGTCAGTCCTCCTCCCCATGATGTCTCAGGTGCATGTGGGGAAAAGTGCCCTTGGTAGTTCATGCTGTCTACAAGGGCTGTGCCCAGGATTAGCAGGACTGGAGACAGGCCAGGCACCGAGGGCACACATTCAGTTGGTGCCCAAATGCCCCCTCACGTCATGCCCTGCCCTGGGGTTCTAGTCACACTGGTGTGTCCAGGCCATGTCACTTCCCACCCCCCAGCCCAGATGCTCTGGTAGCACCAGCTGTCTGTAGCTGTGCTCTGTGGTTGGTCTGTTAAACTGGCGGCAGGTTCACCCTGCAGATCTGCGTTAAGGTCAGTGTTGCCCAAAGCTGGTCCCTAGGAAGAAACTGCACATCACCCTCACTTGCTGTCTGCTTTTCATAGTGCTGCTGCACAGCGTGTTTTGAGATAATAGCTGGTCATTTATCTGATCAGGTAACTTTGTCTTATTAAGCAAAGTGGGGGATATAATGTTGAGAAATCAGTGAGTTGCTTTAGGAAAAATTCACCTCCTCCTGTGATCTTCCATGTGTGCCTGGGTTGTGTGGGGAGAGTTCCAGATTCCACATCCTTGCTTGGTCCTGGTCCATGACACATGTTCTAGAACCTGCACGGCACCAAGCGTGCTGGAGCCACCGTGTCTGAGGTTTCCTGTACTCGAGAGGCTCCTATTCATGGTGATACTAACTTGAACAAATGACACTACTGATCCTGTTTTGGGATAATGAATTGCTAGAAAATGTTGTTTTGGTGGATGACTTATTTTGTAATGTACGGACGTGCTGTCACTCACTGAGCATTGAACTAGCGTTTATTTTTCTTTCAGTGGCTTAAAATCACTCATGTAGAGACAAATACGTGTGTCCAACTCCTTTCCTTCCCACTTGTCTAGTATGACCTTCAAAGAGCATAGCTTCATTTTGGTCATTACATGTGCAGTGTTCACCACCGCATTGTAGGTGCTTATACGAGGGGTGAATTTTTATATAAAGGTGACAAACAGGAAGAGATGAGAATTGGATATGTAAAGCTCTGCAAGTAAACTGGATTCAGATTCACTTGGCACGTGGCAGGCCTGTCTTCTTGTTCCATCACGCAGCTTGCTGGAACACACCTTAAATCACACTGAGAAGAATGTGAAATCAGAAGTTTGTCGTGGGTGGGCTCTGTTCTGTGACCTTTCACCACAATG